AATTGGTAGGGCAGGGTAGAATACTCAGATAAAGAGTACTGATTAGCATAGTACTATGAAGGCTCAAAAAATACTAAAAAATTTAAAAAACAACATTAAAATGTAAAAAGCACCTCTTATTTTAATAAGAAACGTATTACATATATACTCCACTTTACTCTACAGTACTTTACAATATCCTAGCCTACTATACTCTATCCCACCCTACCCAAAACCACAAAAATTTAAAAGTCACCGAACAACACCTTCTGTTACAACAAAAAAACGCGTCATATTCCAATATATTCGAATTCAAAAAAATATTCAAAAAATTCGAAACCCCTTCTCTTAATTCCGCGCCCGCTTTTCTCCACTTTTTCTGACTTTTTGTAAACAAATTGATCGCGTCTTTGGGATGGAAACGTCGCCAAGGTCGAAATACAGTGCGAAATCTTCGAAAAAAGACAAAGTAAAGTAAGAAAAACGTCAAATTTTAAGCTTAAAAGGTTAGTCGGGATTTTAAAAATTTTAAAGCAAAAAAAGGTTTTTGAGTTTTACTATGTGAAGTAAAAAAAATTCAATATATTATACCTTTTTTCGAAAAAATCACAGGGGGGGGGGACCAAGTTCAACTTTTTTTCGAAAAAAATTTTTTTTGGCAAAGAAAAAGGCAAAAAGTAAAAAAGTACAATAAAAAAAAACATTTAGATCCAATTATTGTAAAATGTCATTTTTCACAAAAATGAAAAAAAATTAAAAAATTCATAGGGGGGACCAAGTTCATCTTTTTACAAAAAAAATAAAAAAAAAGTTTTTGGAGGCGGATAGGAGGGTAGAGAGAAGAATCACCTTTGGTGATCCTAAATTCATAAAATGCCATTTTTTAAAAATCAAACAAATTTTGGTCAAAAAAATCAATAGGGGGGGGGGACCAACTTCTACTTTTTTTTTGAAAAAAAATGTCGTTGGGGGGTATATTGTAGGATAGAACAGCAAAAAAGTTAAAAAATAGTAAAAAACAATTATTTTGATCCAAAAGTCATAAAATGCCATTTTTTAAAAATCATAAAATTTTTGGCCAAAAAAATCCCCAGGGGGGGGACCAAGTTCAACTTTTTACAAAAAAAATGTTTTTTTGGAACAGATGGAAGAGTAGAAAGAAGAAAATAGAAAAAGTTAATAAATAACACATCTGTTAATCCAAAAGTCATAAAAGGTCAGTTTTTCAACATTAAAAAATTTTTGGTCAAAAATATCCACCGGGGGACCAAGTTCAACTTTTTTTTAAAAAAAATATTTCTTTGAGGAAAAAAAATAAAACTGTCATATTTTAATAAAAATCGCTGAAAATCAAAATTTAAAGTCAAGTTTAATAAGAAAAATTCCAAATTTCGAACAAAAACAAACAAAAACAGTCGACTTTGTTTACAATTAACGGTTGCACTTCACCCCCGCTGCCGCCTTTTCATGCTGTTTGCTTATTACAAAAGAAAGAAAAAAGATTTTGGAGCTGTTTGGTAAGGCGAAGTTGATCAATTTTGATTTTTCGAAATTAAATTTTGGAAAAAAAATTTTAGTTTAAATAAAAAATTTTAAAAACTCTGCTCTACCCTACCCTACCCTACCCTACCCTACCCTACCCTACCCTACCCTACCCTACCCTGCCCTACCCTACCCTACCCTACCCTACCTTACCCTACCCTACCCTACCCTACCCTACCCTACCCTACCCTACCCTACCCTACCCTACCCTACCCTACCCTACCCTACCTTACCCTACCCTACCCTGCCCTAGACATGAGAAACGGGCCGGGCCCAATTTTCAGGCCCGGCACGATCGAAATTTTGCTCAAGGCCGGCCCGGCCTGTTTCTCATGTCTACCCTGCCTTACTTAACTCAACAATGCCCTACCAAAAAAATCGACATCCTCCTATTTCAGCAAGGAAAAATTTTTTAAAAATTATTTTTGTGTCCTTTCTCATCGTTTTTTCTACCCCCCCCCCCTTCTTTTTTACCTTCCTTGGTTTTTTTTCCTTTTTCACTACCCCTCCTCTTAATTTTAACCCTCCCCTACCCTCTGTTGCCTTTACCTTTTACTTTTGCCCAAAAAGCCCCATGCTACCTGCTAAACATTATTTAATCAACCCCCCCCCCTTTGCTCCTCTTCTCTTTTTTCAATCCAACCCCTCTCACACCAACGCTAAACTACTCTCCCCCCTCCCCCCCCAAACCGTAAATAAACAAAAGTAGCTGCAACCCCCATAATAGTATTTAATTGCAAGAATGCCGCTCGCAAACGCACGAACGAAGCATAAACTTTTTGGTGGGGGGATAGGGGCTTGATCTATGTAGGCGGCCGAAAGCACTCTCGAATTGACACCGCTCTTTAATCGAAAGCAGTTGCCCCCCCCCCTTCTCATTCCTTTAATTCTTTCTCTGATGCCTTTTGGCGTTTCATTATCTCTACGCTGATTATCAAAATCATTTTTTTGGCTTGAGGTTTTTGAAAAGGTGTCTAAAGGTTTAAGAATGGCATGATCTTAAATTAAAAATAAAATTTTTTTCAAAAATTAAAATTTTTTTTTAGTTTTGAGCTTAAAAATAGGCCCATAACAAAAAAAAATTTTTTTTAGTTGTACAGCTTTCAGTGGCAAGTAAAATCCGGTAAAAAAGTCAAAATTTTTGTTTTTTCTTCGGAATTGACTTCAACACAAGATCCAAAAACAATAACTTTTTTTTTTCAGCTGCGATCAAGAAGAACTATAACTATTTCATCTACAATAACAAGCTTCGTTTATTGTTGGGAAATATTCAAATTAAGACAGTTTAGAAAAGCAAAAACAAACATGGCAAAACACAGTCTACAGTATCAGAAGGTTAATTTTTAATATTTTACCATACTGTAAAACTATTCTCTTTCTAAATATTTTACCCTACTTTATCTTAACGTACTTTACTCTGCTTTGCCTTACAATATCTTACTCTACCTTGTTCTAAAACATTTTACCCTACTCTGCCCTATCATAAAATATTTTACCTAATTCTATTCTAGAATACCTTACCCTGCCCTACCTTAAAATATCTTTCCTTACCTTATCCAAGTTTGCTTGCCTTATCCCATCCTACCTTAACATAAATTACTTTACTTTACTGTAAAATTTCTTACATTATCCTACCCTACCCTAAAATCTTTTGGCCTAAACTACTCTAAAATATCTTACTATATAGTAAAATAGGGGTGAGAAACGAACCGAATTCACCTCTGAGGCACGGTTTAAGCCCGAAGCCTAAGGTTGACCCCTGGCCCGTTTTCATTTTTACCTCAGGGCGGCCCAAATTTAACTCGAAGCCGGCTCATTTCTCACTCTTTTCTCAAAATATCTTATCTTATTCTGAAATACTTTACTTTTTTTTATCCTAACTTACTCTAAAATACTTAACTCCACCATACAATATTATACAATAACGTAAATTACAATTAAAATTTAAAAAATTTAAAAAAATCCAAAATAAGCCCCGGAGGCAGTTTCCGCTCCGTAAAATTTGCAAGAAATTTTCATAAGAAAACATTGCGACGCGTGAATCCCAAGTCTTCCGATTTGTATACTTGATATTTCCTTTTCTCTCCGCTCTGATTTGCATTCCAAAATTCTTTCGCTAGAATAATGCAAATTTTTTTTTCAAGGCAGGGGTTTGACTTTGTTTCGCAAACAAAAACGCTTTTTGAGGTCGGCGGAAAAGTAAAGTATGTTGTTACATTTGGAGGTATTGAAGGTGAATTTAGTTTTAATATGAAAATGATATAGTATAGTAGAGCAGTATTATATCGGCTATAGTAAAGTAAGAAAAAATAGGATACAGTATGGTAAGGTAAAGTAGGATAAGGTACGGTATGATGGAGTAAGACACAATAAAGAGGTTAAAACATGATATGGTAGAATAAGGCAATAAAGCGAAGGGTAAGTCAAGATAGAATAAGGTAATGCAATATAAGATAAAATAAAGAAGAGTCAAAAATACAACAAAATGCAAAAAAAGACATCAGTAATGCCACAAAGCAAAAAAAAACAATTAGTGATACAGTTGCTGGTTAGTCATATCAATCAAAATTAAAAGTTTTCTTCTTCATGAACCTCTAGGCCCTTCTCGATGCATCCATCACTAGTTTAGATCAGTTTGATGAGTTGGCTTACAGTGAAAGTGCCCTACCTGCCTCGCTTCAGCTCAATTTTTTATATCTTTGTGCCATCAATAGTACCTATGAAAAATTTTAGCTTGCGCTTTTGAGTTTTAAATTTAAATTATTTGGAGTTCCCGCCGATTTGGCAACTTTGGCATTGTGTTTCAAGCACTTTTTTTGGCTTTTCAGACAAGATACGCTTACAAATTTAAAAATTTAGGTTTATTTAAAGGTATTCTACTAGTATATCAAAGAAAAATTGTTAAACGTCAAAAAATGGCAATTTTATAAGCTTGAAACACATTGCCAGTTTGGCGGGAAATTCAAAACGCAGCTCTTTAATCTCGATTTTCTCGAGTTTGACCGGAAAGCTCAATTTAGTACTTTGCTGAGGATCTTATATTTACATGGTCTTCTTATATAAAAAGTTTGAAGTCAATCAGAGCGGCGCAGGTCGGGTACTTTCCGTGTTAGAGGACCAGCCTTAGATTATTGGTAGTTTTTGTCAACCCTTAGCAGCTTGAATAGTCAATGAAGTAGGGTCATCAACGGTGCACATTAAAGTCTTGTTTCTAATGACATAAGGTATCTTCTAACCAAATTCTATTTTTCTTCTTTATGCCTTTTGAAATTTGAAAAAACCGCGAAAAAAAATATTTTTGAAATATGGACGGAAACAATATTTGTGGTTGCCATGGATAACATAAGGCAAGTCTTTTAAATTTATTTTTGTTTTAAAAAGAAGTGTGTAAAATACGATTTTTGATAAATATTGTTCTAATTTATCAGTAGATATCACAAAAAGACTAACTTTTACTTTACTGTCATTCTACTGCAAAAATGTTTGAAAAACTGGATATAAACGACGAAGATATGGGAGAGAAGAGAAAGGAAGTAGAAAAAGAAGATTATATAGAAGAGGACGAGTTTATCAAAGCTTTCTTGCCAGAAAACTTGAATATCTACATTCATAGAGCATATGTTAGTGGGAATACTGAGGAATGCAAAATGATGATCATGGTATGGTTTTATTAGCTTTTTTTGAATTTTAGGCTTGTCATAAACCTAAAACGCAATTTTTTTAATTTTAGACTTATCTTAGGCTAAAAATACATTTTTTTTGTAATATTAAGTTTATTTAGGCTAAAAAATAATTTTTGTCATTTTTTAGTTAAAAATTCAGATTTTTTTTTATTTTTAAAATTAAAAAAAAAATTTTAATTTTAAAAATTTTGAAAAATTGCCATTTTTAAAAATAGGTCAGCATAAAAAAACATTTTTTCAATGTTTTTATTCTTAATTTACTTATAGGACCTCTTAGCCAGAAGCAGCCCCAGTATATGTGAGTATGCTTTGCTGGTACGAGCCTTGATAGCAAGAGAAGAAGGCAAGATCAAAGAATCATTGGAATGGCTTCAGAAAGTGGCTGAATATAATCCAAATTCTGTGAAGTGAGTTTCGGCTTGAACTTGAATTTTTAAGATAGGGCTCTGGGCACGGGTTTCGGGAATAAGGTTCGGGGCTAAGACTCTGGGTTAGGGCTCTGGGCTAAGGCTAGGTCTGGAATTGTGGGCTAGGGTTCTGGGCTAGGGCTCTGAAGCAAGGACTGAGGGTTAGGGCTAGGGCTTAAGGATATGGGTTAGGGTCTCATGCTAAGGCTCTTGTGCTAAGGCTCTCGGGCTAGGGCTGTGAGCTAGGGCTCTAAGGTTTGGCTTTGAGATAGAACTCTAGAATAGGGCTCTGGGCTAAGGCTCTAGACTAGGGCTCTTGAGCTGAAGCTAAGGTTGATTTTTTATATGAATGATCATTTTACAGACTAGTCTACGAGCTAGGCCGAAGTTACCTACTACTTGGAGACCATGAGAGAGCGATAATGGCATTTGACAAAGGAATTCGGCTGGATCCAAATGATTGGGTATGAAACATTACTTTTTTAACTTAGCTATCCATTGTCTTAGTCATATAAGCATAATTTTTTTTCAGAAGTTTTACTATTGGAAAGCCACATGCCTATACTATTCTACTACGAATGTCCGAGAGGCCATAGGCAAGGTAAGCAGTACAGCTACAGTATGAGAAAGATAAGTACAGTAGCAAAATCTAAAAATTTGTAAAAAATATAACATTTTTTATCATTGCTGATAATTTTTTTAAATAAATTTTTTTTTATGTTTTAGGCCCAAGAATGCCTGACTCAGTACCCAAGAGCGAATAAGAACGTTGATATGTTAACATTGATGGCCAAGATATGTATTCAAAAGAACGACTTGATTCCAGCTATTGAAGCATACAAAATTGCACATGATGTAGGTTTTTTATGCAGGAATTTTTTTTACAAAACATGAAATGGCAAGAACTTTCTTTACAAATCAAAAAATGGCAAGAACTTTCTTTACAAAACAAAATATAACAAGAACTTTCTTTACAAAACATAAAATAGCAAAAACTTTCTTTAAAAACCAAAAAGTGGCCTTTTCTATGTATTCGTCGTATAACTTGTCACCTAAACCCTTCAAAATGCTTCTATCAGGTTGTTCAAATAAATCTGTGCCCCAAAATCTTGAAAATTAGTTTTGAGAAAGAGCACAGAATTAAATGAACGACATAACAGCAAGCCTTATAATGACAATGACTTAAATACTTTAAAATGTCATTACAAACCTTAAAATGCCACTATATATGACATTTTTAGTTAGAACCAGACAATCTCGAGATCATTTCTCATCTCGGCCTGATCTACCTAAAAACTGGCAATGAAGACAAAGCCTTCTCTCATCTAGGCAAGGCTCTAACTTACGACCAAAATCATCTGCCGAGCCTTATCGCGGCTGCTGCGATTCTACAAAACAATGCTGATTTTGATGTGGCACTTACCAAGTATCGGTATGTTTAAATTTTAAATTTTATTTTTTAATTTTCAAATTGAAAAACAAAAAATTTGAATATTTGTCGATTTTGGGGCAGATAGAGGTGCGGTAAAGTTACTGTAACTTTAATAGTAGGTTAAATTGTAAAGTTGTTGTTGGTGTTATAGATGAGTAAGTCAATAAACTACTTTGTCAATAATTTTTTAAACACTAGTCGTTACTGTAACATAAGTTATGTCAAAAACAGATTCACACATCAGAGTAGAGGAAAGGGTAAAGTAAAGCTACTGTAACTTTTGTCATACTGTAACTTGTAATCTTGTTGTTTTTGGCATAGATGACCAAGTCAATAATTTACCTTGTTGCCAATTTTTTAGTCTTAAACTCTTTTATAACATAAGGTATGACAAAAACAAATTCACACTTCATAGTGAAGGAAGGGGTAAAGTAAAGCTACTGTAACTTTTAATATACTGTATTGTTTTACATTTTTGTTTTTGGCGTAAGTGATCAAAACCTTAGCCTATCTTGTCACCAATTTTGAAGTACCAAACTTCATTATAACATAAGTTATGACAAAAGCAAACCCACATTTCAGAGTAGCGACAGCCGCTTGCGACCACAACGGAGCCATCTGGAGCAACATTGGAATGTGTTTTCAAGGCAAAGGGAAACTTGTTGCAGCAATTAGTTGCCTAAAACGAGCAAACTACTTGAATCCGCTGGACTGGAAGATTTTGTTCAATTTAAGTTTGGCATATTTCAGTATGTTGCAGCATTCAACGGCTTATCACTTCATGTCGGCCGCTTTGAACTTGAACCCAAAGAACAGGTTTTTGTTGATGGGATTGGCTAGTAAGTGACTTTTTTGTTTGATTTTTACCCTACCCTACCCTACCCTGCCTTACCCTACCCTATTCTACCCTACCCTATTCTACCCTACTCTACCCTAATTTCCTCTAATTCTCTACTTGTTACAGTAATCCTAACCCGGTTGGAAGATCATGCAAATGCTCGGAAAGCCTATGATAGAGCATTAGCCATGGAGCCCAATGATTACATAATCAGGTTAAACTATACGGTGTTTGAATATCGTCACGGTACTCCGGAAGCTGCTGCTGAAGTTTTGAGAGATATTGGTGCTCCACCTAAGCATATTGATGCTTACACACTTGGGGTAGGTTTTGTAAAGAAAGTTCTTGATATGTTCTGGTTTGTAAAGAAAGTTTTCGCCATTTCTGCTTTATATAAAAAGAGATTGACCGCTTTTGACAGCATGCAAGCTGCGGGTGACAAGTTATACGACGGATACAGAAAAGTCGTCATTTTCTGTTCTGTAAAGAAAGTTCTTGCCATTTTTCGTTTTGTAAAGAAAGTTCTTGATATGTTCTGGTTTGTAAAGAAAGTTTTTGCCATTTTTTGGCTTGTAAAGAAAGTTCTTTCCATTTCTTAGTTTGTGAAGAAATTCTTGCCACTTTTCAGTTTGTGAAGAAAGTTCTTGCCATTTTTTGTTTTGTAAAGAAAGTTGTTTCTATTTCTTAGTTTGTAAAGAAAGTTCTTGCCATTTTTTGTTTTGTAAAGAAAGTTATTGCAACCTTATTCATTTTCAGGAACTAATGTCGATTGTGGATAGAATGAGGTCGAGCTTACGCAAAATTCCTGGGATCACTGGTTTATAACATAACTTTTGAAATTTAATAAAAAATTTCGTAATAAATTTCAAAATTTTTATATGTATTGTTACAGCTCTAGATTTTATAGACCTAAAAAAGGAAATACTATGTCTAGTACGGCCTTGGCCTAGTTCTAAGCAAATTTGAAAGAGGCCGAGCTGGCACATGTGGGCTTGATGACCGAAGCTCAAACCAAGCCAAAAATTTGGGCTCGGCTTAGCTGATTGTGAGTCGGCTAAACCAGTAAAAAGCCCGGGACGAACTTTCAGCTCCTTTTAAACTTGCTTTGGTTTGGCTTCTTTTACAAATTCATTCAAATAATAATCAACTTTATAGTTTTGACTCGAATCTAGCTAGAGCCTTGATTTGGTTTGGACAAGAGCTGACCCCTGCCGGCATCTTTCAATTTTGCTTTGGACTGACTTTTTACAGGTATAGTCTTCGACTAAAAAATTTGGTAAAAATGGTTTTGCTAAACCTGCAAAATCATTTTAATTATGTTTTTCGTGCCTTGAAGCCTTTTTTCGCACGATGAATTTAGATAACCAACAGAAAACGGAAATTGATTTTACGGTTTTCCAAGAACTTTGCACCCATACTTACGCATTGTTTTTTGACTGTTACGCCTACTCTTTTTGGCATTTCAAAATTTAAAAACAAACATATTTTTAAAAAAAATTCTGAAAAAAAATTTCAAACTTAAATTTTTAAAAAGAAAAAATTAAATTAAGAACGACCTACCTACAATAAGATAGGATTATATCTAAAAAATCTGAAGAAACTTCAAAAAGGGCTAGGCCGGCACATTTGAGCTTGAGATCCAGGCTCGAACCAAAGCTAAGGGCTCCGTTAACGTCATAATGATAAGGCTTTGGACTAGGGCTCTGGGCTAGGGCTCTAGGCTAAGACTCTGGGCTAGAGCTCTGGGCTAGAGATCTGAGCTAGAGATCTGGGCTAGGGCTCTGGGCTAGGGCTCTGGGCTAGGGCTCTGGGCTAGGGCTCTGGGCTAGGGCTCTGGGCTTGCTTACTTTTGTTTTTACGACAGCTTTACTATTTTTTTCAAATTTTGGTTGAAAAAGAAGGATGAGTGCACTCAAAGGGTAGCAAACGTTTCCGTTTGCTTATTAATGAGGCCATGAAAATGTCGGTTCAAATTACTCGAAAATTACGTAATATGGTTGTTTTGAACAATTTGAGTTCTTTGAAACATCACTTTAAAATGAGTTTTTTTTAAAGTTTTTTTCTTTGTAAAGAAAGTTATTGCCATTTTTTGATTTGTAAAGAAAGTTGTTGCTATTTTTTCTTTTGTAAAGAAAGTTCTTGCCATTTTATGTTTTGTAAAGAAAGTCCTTGCCATTTTACTGTTTTTAAAGAAAGTTTGTGCCATTTTGGTCACTATTACTACCTAAAATAGTAATGCATACTATCCTGGCCAGTAAAATGATACGCCCAGTAATTAGAGCTTGTTTATCGCATAAATTATAAGTTAAGTACGATTTATAGTAATATTCGCATAGTTTAGTACACAAACCTTAGGTCAGCTCTAGATTGAGCTCAAAAATTGTTTTTTTGAGTGGGTTTATGACATTTTGGAAGTTTACGAAAAAGTTCTTGCCATTCTTTGTTTCGTACAAAAAGCTTTTGCCAATGTTTTGTTTTGTAAAGAAAGTTCTTGCCATTTTTCAATTTGTAAAGAAAGTTTCTGCAAAATAAATGCTCATTTCCTTATTTCAATTTAAAAATATCTTTTTTTGGCTAGCCTACTGTTTCGAAAAGCTAAATTTAGTGTGTTATCTATTAATTTGATCTCTCTGACATTACTTTTACGTCACGAAGAAACGTAGGAAATAAACGAAAATGTTGTTTATCAACAGTAAACAATAATACTGTTTATACTACAGTATTTTGTGTTGGAAGGAAGAGTATGGTAAAATACGACCACAGCAGGGTTGCTTAAAGAAGGTTCTTGTCATCTTTTGTTTTGTAAAGAAAGTTCTTGCCACTTAACGTTTTATAGGTCAACTGTTTGTCATTTTGTTCACTTTTCGTAATAATATCATCATCATTCAACATATTAAAGTTTATTTTTATAAAGAAGTAAGTATAATACAATATTACAATACTATGAGATCTTGAGTACAACTATCCAAAAAATAATATGTAAGTAACACAGTAAAGTACAGTGAAATAAACTGCAATAAGAGTACATATAAGTTCATGAAGCAGGCTAGGTGAGGTGGGTAAGGGTAAAAATTTTGGGCAGGTCTAAAATTTTTTTTGAAAATTTTAAAATTTTAAAAAATTTCAAAAATTAAAAAAAAATTTACTACCCCCAAAATCACTCCTACCACCCCATAACAAAAACGCCTTGGACGTTCAATTACAGCTGAGGAATGAGCAAAACATAATCGTTGGGTTGAAAATCGACCGGTCTGCTCTCAAAGAAGCCGGTTGATCTTTTGCCAGGCCTTAAGCCCCATCGACCATTGGCCAGAGACCGTTTGCCTGGCCTTAAAGTCCAACGACCGGACGCCAAGTTTCGTCGTTCTCTGCCTGGAACACTGTCTTCGTCTGCGACGATCAAATCGACCAGTCGATTTGAATTTACGGATTTTTTGGCTACGAATTTTGGGTTGAAATCTGAAATTGAAAATTTTTAAATTTTAAACTTTTGAATTAAAGTTTATACAGTAAGGTATGATAAGGCAAGGCAATGTAAACCAAGAAGAAACAGGGTACGTCAAGGTAGGGTAAAGTAGAATAAAGTAAGCTAGAATACGGTTGAGTATAGAAGAGTACGGTAAGGTACGGTAGGGTACGGTAAGATCGAATTGGTAGGGTACGGTAGGATAGCCCAATACGATAGAGTATGGTAGGGCAAGGTAAGATACGAGAGAGCCCGGCTAGATACGGTAGCTCACGGTAGAAAACGGTTAGATACGGTAGTGCACAGGAAAGTACGGGAAAGGCACGGTAGAGTACGGTAGGATAAAATAGATAGGGCTAAGCAGAATACGGTAGGGTACGGCAGAGTAGGGTAGGGTAGGGTAAGGTAGGGTAGGGTAGGGTAGGGTAGGGTAGGGTAGGGTAGGGTAGGGTAGGGTAGGGTAGGGTAGGGTAGGGTAGGGTAGGGTAGGGTAGGGTAGGGTAGGGTAGAATAGGGTAGGGTAGGGTAGGGTAGGGTAGAATAGGGTAGGGTAGGGTAGGGTAGGGTAGGGGTAGGGTAGGGTAGGGTAGGGTAGGGTAAGGTAGGGTAGGGTAGAATAGGGTAGGGTAGGGTAGAATAGGGTAGGGTAGGGTAGGGTAGGGTAGGGTAGGGTAGGGTAGGGTAGGGTAGGGTAGGGTAGGGTAGAGTAGGGCAGCGTAGAGTAAGGTAGAGTCTTAAAAAACTGACCTTTGTTATCGTAATCGTAGCTCAAGTTGTCGTCATAATTTGAAGAAATCGACCGTTTTCCTGGTCGCAAGCCCCATCTGCCAGACGCTAACGATCTCTTGCCGGGTCTCAAGCCCCACCGCCCTGAGGCTAGTGAGCGTCGTTCGCGGCTGGCCTGGAGTTCATCATCCATAAGGTCTAACTCATTTGGCTCCAAGAAGTCGGCGGATGTAACGGCAAATAGGGCAAGTAGTAGTGCTAGTTCAAGCCTCATACTGTAGAAATGATTGTACCCTGAAGTTGAATGTCTGAAAGTAAAAAAAAATATATTAATTACAGTTCAATATTTTGTCATTAAAAACCAAAAACCGCCAAAATTTACTACTATAATTGTTTATATTATAGTATGTTATTGTACATACTATAATGTATACCATTCTAAAGCGGAGGTAAACAAACATCCAACAGAACGAACCAAAATTTGATGTTATTCTCAAAAACTTGCTTTAGGATACCAAGTACACAAAGTTAAAAATATGTGATTATGCTTCAAATTAGTACTGCTACCAGACGTGCTATTACAGCACGTCTTGGTAAATAATAGACAAGTAGTTTTTTTAGCAACCAGTACTGTTCTGATCATCAGGGAAGGCTTATAACACCGTATCCTACCCTACCCTACCCTACCCTACCCTACCCTACCCTACCCTACCCTACCCTACCCTACCCTACCCTACCCTACCCTACCCTACCCCTACCCTACCCTACCCTACCCTACCCTACCCTACCCTACCCTACCCTACCCTACTCTACCCTACCCTACCCTACCCTACCCTACCCTACCTTACCCTACCCTACCCTACACTACCCTACCCTACCCCACCCCCACCCCCACCCTACCTTACCCTACCCTACCCTACCCTACCCTACCCCATTCCACCCTACCTTACCCTACTCCACCCTACCCTACCTTAATTTACATTGCAGTAAATTACCAAACTACAGTACTCTTAATACCATCTCTTTTAACTAATTGCCTTGCGTTGCCTTGCCTTGCAGTGCTACCCTACAGTGCCCTATCGTGTCATACCGTATTCTACCACAGCTTACCGTACTTTACCCACTCTTATCCCACTTTACCCAGCTTTACCCTACCCTACAGAAAGTTTTGACTACCCTATTACTCATATTTTCATCTTCTCTATCCTGCTTTCTACCGTTCCACTTCTGTATGTACTTTTATATTGTCATTTTAGATTCTAGTACTTTGGTCAAAACTTAGAAGTTGAGTCTAATAAGACCAGCTTCTTCTTAAACTAGTGATACAAAAAGTCATTTTTATAAGATTTATGACGGCTAGATTGCTCCTAGTATCGTACTTTTATAGTACTATTACAAATCAGATAAAAACCAAATTTAAAATTACAAAATGACGCTGATAAGGCAATACAAAGAAATGATTTATGTTGTACGTACTATAATTTTAAGGGAACACGCAAAATGTTGCCATATGTAATCAGAAATGTCACAAAAAGTGTTGCAAAACTGGAAAGCGTGCCAAAAATTCATTAAAAGATTTGCGAGTTTTTGTAAAATTTTAAAGTAGTCTAGATTACAAAATGGTAAGAACTTTCTTTACACAACTAAAAATGGCAAAAAATTTCTTTACAAAACAAAAAATGACAAGAATTTTCTTTACAAAACAAAAAATGGCAAGAACTTTCTTTACAAAACAAAAAATGGCAAGAACTTTGTTAGTTTTCTAGATTATAAGGTATATATGTATAAACATGTAGCATGGTTAATAAGACGTTATTAACAAAAATGCCAGAATAAGTATTCGTCTGCACAGTAATATAAAGATAGGTTTCAATTGTTATAAAAATGAAAGCAAAGACAGTTTAAAAAAGATGATATTACTAAAGTAAAAAATGAAGTCCTATACGATACCCCACCGCATCTTAAAAAAAGAAAACTTGTATTTGTTGAGTACTCAGAGATCGTACTCACAGCTCTGAAAAAAGATTTGCAACAGTATGGTAAAAAAAGCAGGCTATAGTAGGTCTTTTGTAAGTTACAGTAGGTTCTTCTACCCGATCTTAAATTTTTCATTTTTTTTCTCTACGTAACCCAGCCCTGCATAAACCTTACTCTCACTGAACCCTAGCCATCGTTTGAATTCATTTTAGTCTTTTCCTAGCTCTGTCAATTTATTCTAAGCCGGTCTTTAACTCACTGTAGCTTTACTATGTTACTTCTTACTATGCCTACCTGACCTTACTATGTCTTTTAGTACAAGTGCAAAAACTTGCGTTTTGATCTAAAAATAGCCAAAAAATAAAAAAAATTTACCTTATCCTAAGCGCCTCACCCTAAGTACCCCATTCTAAGAGCCGCCGTACTCTAAACACCCTACCCTACAACACACACTCTACCCTACCAAACTAAAGTTTTCAAAAATTTTAAGAAATTAAAAAATTGTAGCAATAGCAAAAAAAAGCCTGTCCCAGCCAAAAATTTCAAAAAATTTAAATTCAAACCCATTAAAAGTAAGTCGATTAACCGTCCGACCCATCCCCTCGTCATCATTGAATAGAATACAATTCCGAGGGCATTACTTAACCCTCCCTATCTGATCATCCTATAATTAAAAGAAAGGGGCGTGGCAAAAAGTGGGAAATGAAGACGAAACGCCTCCGGGAAAATGGGTTAATACCCAAAATAGTACGATAGAGTCGTTTTTCAACACGTTGCACACGTTTTCACATTCATTAAAAATAGATTTGGAGACGGGTAGGATGACCTACTGTACGTTAAAAGACTCTACCCTACCTTACACTACCCTACCCTACCCTACCCTACCCTACCCTACCATATCCTACCCTGCTCTACTCTTACAACTATAAATTTTCCAATTTTACGTATCACGTCATACTGTAACAACACCTTTAAAAATAAACTTCTCGTCACATTGTGTCTGGCTTTGAAAATATTTTTTTTCCGTTTTACACTACTTTTACAGCATTACAACTATAATACTTTACACTGACAATTGTATGTTATGGTCCTATAACAAACATCACGTACTAAATACAACTTGCCATCAACCTCTCTCTCGTACTAAACTTAACACTAGCCCAGAGTTCCAGCCCAGAGCCCTATCGCAGAGCTCTAGCCCAGCGCCTTAGTCCTAGAATGTGACCTAGCACTAGGTAATGAAAATTACGCCTAAAAACATGGTGAGGAATATATGTATGACAAAATAAATGACAAAGTTTTTTAAATCATCTAGCTTTTTTACCCATAGTTGCAAGGAAATAGCATTATCGACAAATCGAGTTATATTCGGCGACAAACTGCTAACGAACTCAAGAATTATGACGAAAAGGAAGAAATAAGTTATACACATATATACGAAATCTTATAGTAATAAGCGAGGGCGTTAACACGGTAGGAAAAGTAATGTCATCTCGATAACTTTTAGTTAAAAATAGCAAAAATATTTTTAAAACCCGCCAAAAAAAATTTTTTTTGGTTGTATAAAATGTCAAAATGACGTTTCTTGTACTTCTACTGACCTCAAAAACGTTTTTTCACCTTTTTGTCGCCTTTACCAAAATTAAAGTTGTGTGTAAGATTTGTAATGTAATTTGCACTGAAAATCTTCCACTCAACTTCCATTTTCAAAATGCCTTAAAATTGCTTAAAAACGTGTTTTTAACACTTTTTAAAAGTGGAAGTTCAGTGGAATTTTTGTAATGTATTTTGCACTAAAAATCTTCCACTAATCTTTTGCTTTTTTAAAAAACGTTTTTAACTCCTCCAAGTACTCAAATTACCGGAAACGTAATTAATTTTGTCATATTGTGTCCTTAGGGCAAAATACAGCTACAACATTGCGTGTTTGACTTTACAATTACTGTTTATTCAAGAAGATGTAATCATTTCCAATAAATCACGTCGGAACTCGCACGAATAGACGTTCGGCGCGGAACGCTCAAACACGTTGAATGAGCCGTTCGGTGTTATCACTAAAAATTGAAAATTTTTTATTTTAAAAAAGTTTTTAAATTAAAAAGTTAGTACTGAGCGTTATGATAGGGGCCAAGGCTCTGGGCTAGGGCCCTGGGATAGCATTCTTGGTTAGGACTCTGTGTTAGAGCCCTTGGCTAGGACCCTGGGATAAAGCTCTGTGCTAATCTAATATTATCAGGTTGAGCAAATAATTGTGTGCCCCATATCAAAAAAAAATCTTTAATTTGAGGGCGCACAACTGGATGAACAACCTAATAAGTGCAAAACTAGGCTAAAAAAGCAGAAAAGGCTAGTTTAAGAAACAAAAAAGGAAATAAGGTCATTTTTAGACCATATCTATGTCATATCTACCTTTTTCAAAAAAAAAGAAAAATGGAAGTTGAGTGGAAGATTTTCGGTGCAAAATACATTACAAATCTTCTACTCAACTTTCATTTTTTATAAGTTGCCATTTTTGATTTGTGATGAAAGTTTTATGAATTTTTGGTTTGTAAGAAAAGTTTTTGCCATTTTGAACTTTTAAAATAAAGGTTATTGTCATTTTTTGCAGTTTTCACTCAAATTTTACCCATTTTTCGTTTCAAAAACTACGAAACTTCCTTGTCTAATTCCAAAAAAACCTAATTTACTTCAACCGTCTAGCCATGAAACATAACAAAAATACAAAAAAAGAGTTTTAGAACAGACAAGACAGTTTTTTAGGCAAGAAAACGGTTAGGACGGGCAGTTGCTAAATCTATGCTAGACTAGGTCCAGAACTAGCGCTGAAGTAAGAACTATACTAAGGCAATGCTAGGACCAAGAATTAAGCTAAAGCCAACACTAGGGCCAGTGCTCTATGAACTGTCCTACTCTCTAACTGCTAAGGCTAGGGCTCTGGACTAAGGCTCTGGGCTAGGGCTCTGGACTAGGGCTTTGGGCTAGGGTTCTAGGCTTGGGCTTTGGGCTAGGTCATTGGGTTAGGGCTCTGGGCTCGGGCTCAAGCATAAGGATGGCTAGGTAAAAAAGTCATTTTTAACTACAAAAAAGTTTAAAATATTGTTGTAAAGGAAGTCGTACATGAATAATTAAAAGTCATCGCATGTTACAAACCATGTTTATGTTTGCATGCTGGGTTGTAAAACATGTTGTGTGTTTTATCACCTGTTTAGACCCACTCAAAAATGCCAGAATGTCATTTTTTTGTAAAAAAGATCGTTTTGTGACGACATTTAAAAAATTTGCAATAAAAATGTTTGCAAGACAAAAAATGGCAAAAACTTTCTTTACAAATTATAAAATGGCAAAAATTTTCCTTAGGAACCAAAAAATGGCAAGAACTTTCTTTAAAAAGCTTATAATGGCAAGAACTTTCTTTACAAAACTAAAATTGATCTTTTTGAACCTAGTATATCTTTTCCAACTTTAAAAATTCCTTAAACCAATATTTAGAACAAACGGGGGCTAAAAACAATGTAACAAAGTGTAAATATCTACTACGTGATAAATTGACTTAAGAAAGCAGGTCAATAACAAAATTTTAAATTAAATTTAAATTTTTTTTATATACACATAAATATTCTTTCCAGTATAATTTCGCTTGAGCTCTAGCCATTCCCTGCATTTTGTAGTCTACCTAGTCCCAGATAGACGTAAAAAGCGGCAAATCAAACTTGGACCAATACAAATAGCCGTGTAGGCCGAGTCCGGCTTAAAACAGGCCCTACAAGCAAACCGTGCAAAGCCTGGCTTTGCAAGCCCAAATGACGGTGCTTAAATGAAGGCCTCATGAGCCAGAGTCATAACCCTGAGTCTTGGCCAAGAGCCTTAGCTCTAACCCTATTACAAGTCTTATCAGAGCCTTAGCTAAGAATCTTAGCGTAGCCTAGTTGCAGAATGTGTAAAAAAATGAGCCCTTGTTAGCATCTTTTTAAGTCCAGCTTCAGGCCTTACTCTAGCTCAAACAGCAAACAATTTATTTACAAAATCTTCCTTTATATAACAAAACTACTGGCAAACAAAGAGCTGATAAAGGGCTAAAGCTAGTGTAGTATAGTTAATAAAATTTGTCTACCTCTTTCTAAGCCACAGAAAATTAAAATAGTTCAGACATTTCAAGCTTATTCAACAAAAAATAGAATCCACTTACCAATGAGAGTATTACCCATAAACCCTGCTTGTGTTTCTAAAAGAGAATCATCGGCGGCCTTGTTTTCATTGCCTAAATGGATTCGAATCTGACTGGGTCGGCCTTTTAGCGTGAAGAATTTTTTGAACGTGCTGAAAAGGGGGAGTATTACTTTAATATTCATCTAGTACTAGTAGTGTAAGTTCGTAGTACTATTGGTATAACAACCAGTTTTTAGTACTAGTAGTATGATAGTCAGTATCTAGTAACAGTACAACTATCAACGGTTTCTAGTACCATTACTACTACCAACAGCTTTTAGTACTAATACTAAAACATACATCTTCTAGTACTACTAGTCCAACGGTTTCTAGTACTAGTACTATAACAATAGGTTTTATGAGAGCAACATACCTTGTCTGTAAAGCATCGTACAAGCTAAACAAATGTACAGTGTTGTGGTTACTACATACGGCTATGTACGATGAGTCTTTGGAGAATGTTATACTAAAGTAACGTAGACATTTGTATTGTTTATTACCTAGAGATTAAAGCATTTTGTGAGCCACGCCGAAATTCGTACAATAAATGGCCAGACATCGAATTGAACACTCGGATTAACGTGCCTTTTAGCGAGGATGAGGCTATTAGAGATCCTGAAAGTATATTCCATAAAAAGTAAAAATGCAAAGCTTAGTCTTAGCCCAATCCCAAAGCCCTAGTCCAGCGTCCTAGCCCAAGACCCTAGCCCAGAGCTCTAGCCTACAGCCTTAGTCTAGAGCCTTAGCTCAAAGCCCTACCTAACGAGCAGTTCAAGCACTAGCCTTAGCGACCAACCCTAGTTCCAGCGCGCAGTCTTAACTTTAGCGGCCGGTCCAAGACCTAGCTTTAACATCCGATCCTTGCTCTAGCGGCGAGCTGACTCCTGCAACCAGCCTAAAACACAGCCTTAGTGGCAAGTCCTAACCCTAGCAATTGTAACTACCCCCACAGTCAGTTTAAACTCTAGCCTTAGCGGCCAGTCCTGCCTTAGCAAACCGCACTATCCCTAACAGCTAACCATAACCCTAGCGACTAACCTTATTCCTAGCCTTGACGATCAATCCTAAACTTACCCCTAACAGTCAGCCATAGCCGTAGCCCTCTTATTATCCTTTTCGTATCTTCAACCCACTCAGTTGTCTTTTTACTCCAGCATTTCAGTATCCCTGCTTACCCGCATCTTATACTACCTTACCTCTTTTTAATACCTCTTCTTATTACAGTAACCCATACTCTTTATAATACAGTAACTACTACTCTTCTCCCTTAATTAAAGATACAAGACCCTTACCATTATTATTAGAAGCCAACGTCCTAATCGCATGTTGATGTGCTTTCACCGTGTTGGTTCGTATCTTCTGCTGATTCAACCAACATATCCCAATATGACCATTGACAATCGACGGAAAGGCCAGCAATTCCTCCGAATTTAACACGCAAATCCCCTGAGGGTTGAAGTTGGTGTCGAAATAAATTAAAAACTCGGGAATGTCGCTAAATGAAAACACTTGGACTTGGTACTCGAGTACAACAACAATACGATCACGGTTGACTTTGACATTACACACCTTGGATGATAAGGTAAGCTCTATGACGGATTTTTGGAGACATACATCGTAGATTACGACTGAAAATATAAAATTTAACAAAATTATAAATAAATAGCAAGAACTTTTTTTACAAAATAAAAAATGGCAAGAACTTTCTTTACAAAACAAGAAACGGCAAGAACTTTTTCAACAAAGCATAAAATAGCGAGAACTTTCTTTACAAAACAAAAAAGACGCTGTTCAAAAAATGAAAGTTAGGTGGAAAATTTGTAATGCATTTTGCACTGAAAATCTTCCACTCAACTTCCATCTTTTGACCTTGCAAAAAAAAGCAAAAAATCTAACTTTGGGCTTAAAAATGATTTTTTACGCTATTTTTGTTACCTAAAATACATTTTTTGAGACATTTTTTTCAGTTTTTAGGTATGAATTTAAAAAATTTACAAAAATTTTTGAAATTTTTAAAAAATTAAATTAAAAAGATTTGGTTTTTAAAATATGTGGCAAACACTTTTTTTTAAATGTATGAAATGCAAAAACTTTCTTTCCAAATCAAAAAAATGCAAAAACTTTCTTTCCAAATCAAAAAAATGCAAAAAATTTCGTTACAAAACTTAAATTGTCAAAATCTTTCTTTACAAAACAAAAAATAGCAAGAACTTTCTTTCCAAGCCCTAAATTGTCAAAAACTTCCTTTCCACTCCCTCCCCTATCACACACATGTCTGCGCCCTCATGCTGAACTGCTGAGTTTGACCGTAACGGAAATGAATCACTTTAGACAGTGTTTTGCCGGACCAGTCAGGATGACGTTTTTTTCGGGTTGGACCGGACTGGTCCGGCAAACACTGCCCTTAGACACAAGAAAACCTACCTTTATTCTCCTCAAAAGCCGGCTTATCACCTCCAGCCACCAATGCCACCAAACTGCATCGAAACGCGGGTTCGGCCGCTATCAGTCCACCCCCAAGATCAATATTACAAACCACTTTTAGTGGGTTCGAGTTGAATATGACCAAGCCTTGAGTGGTACAGCAACAAAAACAGTCGGAATTGGGACCAAACGTGATTGATCGCAGCATTCTATTTCGATTCCATAATCAAAAAAGTTTGATTTTCATTGTCAGCCGGCTCTTTTCGATAAACAAATAACAGCCTGAAGTAACCTAAATAAGGATAATATTGACATTGGGTTTGAGGTCAATATATACATAGAAAGCAAAAAATGATAAAGGTTCGTAAGATCGATAAGCGACAAAAAAAATGCGAAAACTTTGTTTACAGAGCATAAAATTGCAAATACTTTCTTTACAAAACAAAAAATGGCAAGAATTTACTTTACAAATCAAAAAATAACCCAAATTGTATATTCAGCGTATAACTTGCACCCGCAACCTGCAGGTTGCCAAAAGCAATTCGATTGCTCTTAGGTAAATAGAAATGGCAAGAACTTTCTTTACAAAACATAAGATGGTAAGAAATTTCATTCCAAAACAAAAAATTGGCAAGAACTTTCCTTACAAAACTAAAAATAGCAATAACTTTCTCTACAAAAAAAATTTTTTTAAATAAGTTTAAAAATGACCTTTTAAAGCGTTAAAAAGTCGGTTTAGTAACCCGAGAACAAGAGCGGAAAATATTCAAACATTCAATGAATCAGAAGCGTGAAATAAACGATGCGATCGTTCCCAAAATTTACTGATTCTTTTGGTTTTCCAGCTGTTAAGCTCCGCTTTTGACTTCTCTTTTCGGTTTCTAACCTACCCTACCCTACTTTACCCTACCTTACCCTACCCTACCCTACCCTACCCTACCCTACCCTACCCTACCCTACCCTACCCTATCCTACCCTACCCTATCCTATCCTACCTTACCCTACTTTGTTTTGTCCTACCCTACCTTAATATACTTTTCCGTACCTTACCTAACTACAGTACTCTTAATACCATCACCTTTAGCTATATACATACTTGCTTTATCCTGCTTTTCTTTGCTCTATATTGTTTTTCCCTGCTTTGCTCTGCTTTTCTCTGCATTTTCTTACCGTACTTTCCCAGCCCTGCCCTACCCTCCCCACATTGCCTTGCCGAACTCTGGTTTGCTTTACCATACGTTACCCTGCCTGGCTTTGCCTCACACCCTACCAAAAAATGCAACAAAAACATACTTGCTTGTCAGTTTAAAACAATTAATTCTCTTTTCTCCCCTCCCTTCCATTCACAGTTTTAAAAAAGTCCTCCTCCCCCCCTCCGTCCCACTGTTTAAAAAAAATCTTCCCCCCCCTCCTCCCACTGTTTTTTTTTCACTACCCCTTAAAAATTTACTCTACCCCCCTTTTGTACTCCTTCTCTTCCAAAAATACTCTTTACCCTCCCGCTAGTCAAGTAAAGACCTTCCTAAACATTAACAATTACTGACCCACTGACCACCGCCTTCGAAGCGAAAACCGTTAAAATTCGATTTGACAAAACTTCTTACAACAAAAACAGAGCGCTTCTTCGAAACGGCGTTTAGCGCGAAACGGGACCAGGTCACAAGCCCTGAGGGTGGGAAAACAAGGGTCAACAAGATTAAGAGAGAGCTTTTGGAGTGACCGGAAGAAGCGCTTAATTAAATATTTTAAGTGTTTCGACCAGAAATTCAATTATTTTTTTTAATTTAAAAAAGGTAGGAAAGGATGGGTAGGGTAATGAAAGGTAGGATATGATAGGTTAAGGTAGGGTAGAGAAAAGTAAGGTACATCAAGTTAAAATTAGGTACGGCAGAGTAAATTAACGTAGTACAGGTTAAAGTAAAGTACGGCAGGGTAGGGTAGGGTAGGGTAGAGTAGGGTAGGGTAGGGCAGGGTAGGGTAGGGTAGGGTAGGGTAGGGTAGGGTAGGGTAGGGTAGGGTAGGGTAGGGTAGGGGTAGGGTAGGGTAGGGTAGGGGTAGGGTAGGGTAGGGTAGGGTAGGGTAGGGTAGGGTAGGGTAGGGTAGGGTAGGGTAGGGTAGGGTAGGGTAGGGTAGGGTAGGGGTAGGGTAGGGTAGGGTAGGGTAGGGTAGGGTAGGGTAGGGTAGGGTAGGGTAGGGTAGGGTAGGGTAGGGTAGGGTAGAGTAGTGTAGGGTAGGGTAGAATAACCGCTTATAAACTGAGTTATACAACATTACACAATCAAAAAAATCTTGTCGTTTTTTATTGCGGAAGCCTGTACAAACGGATGACAAGACTTATTAAATTTTCTAAAATAGTAAAATTTTTCATGAAATTAAGTAAAATAAGTTATTTTAAAGCTACTTGAAAGCAATTGTCAAATTTTAATAAAAAACTATAATTGAAAATGACAAATACCACATTTTTCATAAAAAAAAAGTTTAAAGTTTAACACGACATTCTGTAATACAAAGAAACGTCTTCTTTTCAAATTGATATTTGAAGCAATAGAAAATTGAGTTTGCAATAACATATTTTGTCATTTCATAAATCATGAAATTAAATTTAAAAACACAACACTTTAAATAAAAAAATCAACTGTTTTAATAGCCGTTTCTTTTTAAAATGTCATATTGTAAAATACGTGACAGTATCTTTATTGAACGAAAAATTGATGTAAATTATTGTAACCTTACCGAATTTAATGATATAACTAGATAGCCTTAGAGAAATTGTGAGAAATAGTATTACGCAACGTTTTCTTATGTAATATTTTTAATTTTATAATATTTGCCTCGATGTAAAACAACCCAAAAAATGACTGCAAGCGCTGGGATTTTACTCCAAATTTCTGCGGGTAATATGGTTTTACACTCCCTAACTAAGGTTCAGGCTACAGACAAACAATCAACTTAGTTAAAGCTAAATTAAAAACAAAGGCAAATGTCTTATAGCAGAAGATATTAGCTAAAGCCTAAAGCTAAGACTAAGGCTTAAAATCAGGTTCATGGCTCAGGCTCTGGCTCTGGCTCTGACACTGGCTCAGACTCTGTCTCAGAGTCAGGCTCAGGCTCAAGCTCAGACTCAGTCTCAGTCTCAGGCTAAGGCTCAGGCTCAAGCTCAGGCTCAAGCTCAGGCTCAAGCTCAGGCTCAAGCTTAGGCTCAAGCTCAGACTCCGTCTTAATTTTAGGCTCAGGTCAAGCTCGAGAAGAAAGAATTGACAACCTAAGGTTAAGCCTAAGCCTACACTTACGCCTGATTCTATGGCTAAGGTGTTAAGGCCTAAATTTAAGAACAAGTCTATACCTAAAAACAAGCTTGAACCTAAGCCTACGTTTATGTTTAACTATTATATAAGCCTAAGCCTAAGAAAAACCGTACGCCAAAACTGCATTTACTCCTTAGAATCAGTTCAGAAACTAGCAAGTAAAATAATAATCTCACGTTGTTTTCCTTCATGTTCACACTATACCTATTCTCTTCGTCTTGCCAAACTCGGTATTCCCACATTGAAATCACGACGTGATAAATTAGATATAAAAACTTTAAGTTCTATAATAAATAACAAGATAGTTGTATCGTCTGCCCAAAAGCCTGTCCTTAGGGGCCCAATACCACGTTCCTTACTCCAGGACAAGTGTGAAAGCCAACTCTTTTTTTCCTAGATCATTAAGACAACTAAGGGATCAATAGCTATTAAAACGCTCATCACTGTACTGTCATTTATCTTTAAAAATTTATTTTATATTATATTGATTTATGTTATATTATGACTGTACGAGTGAATTTTTGAAAATAAATAAAATAAATTTAAGCTAAGTCTGCTTTTGGGACCTAAAGTTAAGCTTGAAATTTCATTTTTTTATCTTTTAAAACTTTTTCTTTGTTATTTTACCCTGTGTTTTATAATATTTGTCTCTATTTACATTCATCAACACTTGCACACCATTCTTCACTAGTTCGATCAACGAACTCATCGTTCCGCTGTTCCAATTGCAAATCATTAAAAATCAATTTCGAAAGCTGTCAATTTTTATTTTTGTGTAGCGCCACAAGTAATAAAGTGAGTAAGGGGGGATAGCGGAAAAAGCCAGCGATAAGAGCCCGTCTTATCAATTATTAACCGTGCATTTCCAATTTTATACTCGTTTCAAACACGAAAAACAAAAATATGCGGCTGGTGCTGGTGGTCCAGTTGTTGGTGTTGACTGGACTGGTGCTCGGCATAAAGCATCGCAATTTTAAAAGGCTTGGGGAGTATGAAGACGACTCGGACCTTGACTACAGTGAAGAAGAAGACGACAGGGATGCAGAAATTGAACCGCTGATTGTGTGTCGCAAGGATGGGAGTAAGTATGAGTAATGTGTAGGTATAGTATGTTTAGTAATTTTTAAGAATATACTGTAATTTTGGAGAAATGAGGATAGAGTAGAGTAAGATGAGGTAGCATAAAGAAGAACGATGATGAATAAGGTAGGATGAGGTAGAATAGTGACGAATTAGATAAAATGGGGTAAGACAAGTCAGAACAGGATAAGATAGAGTATCAAAGTAGGGTAAGACAAAGGAAAAAACTTTTTTGCCATTTTTTATATCGTAAAGAAAGTTCTTGCTATTCTTTGCATTGTAAAGAAAATTCTTGCCATTATTTGCTTTGTAAAGAAAGTTCTTGCCATTTTTTGCTTTTTAAAGAAAGTTTTTGCCATTTTTTGCTTTGTAAACAAAGTTTTTTCAACTTCAGAAGACCCATGCCACTGTGATGACAAGAACGATGTAGGTATCTTAAACTGTCGTAGAGGAACGACAAAGAAAGGAAAGCAAAGTAACAAAGCCTTCCTAACTAATGCCACGGTAAAAGTAGAAGATGATGATTTCAAAGCCAAACATATATCTTTTGCTGGTAATCAAATAACGTTCTTGGATGGTGAATCTATCGTACCTGGCCAGAGGATTACTGTAAAGACGCTTGATTTCACAGCAAACAGAATATCGCTGATCAATACTGAAACGTTTGATGAATTTTCGAAATTAGAAAAATTGAAGTTGAGTCACAACCTAATTGCTTTGGATTCGACTAAAGAGTAAGTCAATATTACAAAATCAATTTGTAAAGTTTTAAAAATTTATTAAGATTCTGAGTAAAATTAAATTTATCAGGCTCAAAATTACTGAGCACCATCGTAACAAACGATAGTTTAGTAGCCGCAGGCTTAAATGACTTTGTCTGAAGAGGCTTATTTAGATTTAGACCTAGCTTTAAAATTAAAATTAAAATTTCAATTTGGGCCTAGTGTTAAACTTAAGCTTAGACTGAGGCTTAAGTTTTGGACTTGACGTAGACTTAGGCTTAAGCTCAGGCCCCGGCTCACGCTCAGGCTCTAGCTCAAACTCAGGCTCAGGCTCAGGCTCAGGCTCAGGCTCAGGCTCAGGCTCAGGCTTAGGCTCAAGCTCAGGCTTAGCCTCAACCCTCAGGCCCAGCTTCATAGACTCAAGCTCAAGCTTACAATTGTTAGGCCCAGGCTCAGGCGCAGTTTCAAATTCAAGCTCAGGCTTAGGCTCAAGCTCTAGCTCAAACTCAGGCTTAAGCACTTAAGCACAGGCACAAACTAACACTCAAGCACAGCCTCAGACTCATGCTCAAGCTTGAGCGCAGCTCCTTCGCCTTAAGTTCACTTTAGCAACCACAATCTAAGCATTTGAAAACTTACAGCATCTTAATCCTTAGTCGCAGTTTTTAAGCTTAGGTTCAGGCTAAGCAAAATTAGATTTTCAGGAAACAGGCTTAAAACTAGGTTTTACAAACTTAGATTTAATATGCACTATTTTTTTAAATATCGAAAGTAACGACTTTCAAAGTTTCATAACCTACTAAAGACACAATTTTCAGTGGCTGGATAACGGACAAACTGGGCAAAACATTGAAAAAGCTTTATTTGGACTATAATATGCTTGGTGACATACCAAACGGTCTGTTTGATCCGCTTGGAACGACGTTGGAGACACTTGTATTAGATGGAAATCCAAGTCTGAAGTTGTCTGACAACACTTTTGGATCAGAGTTGGCAAATTTAAAAGAATTGTCGTTGGATAAATGCAAATTGACTGATTTACCGCCAAAACTTTTCGACAACCTAAAGTAAGTTTTTTTTTAAATTTGAAATTTAAATGGCAAGAACTTTCTTTACAAGACAAAAAATGGCAAGAACTTTCCTTACAAAACTTAAACTGGCAAGAACTTTCTTTACAAAATAAAAAATCGCAAGAACTTTCTTTACAAAAAAAGAAATGACAAGAACTTTCTTTACAAAGACTTATATTTCAATTTGTCACACTTTCAGAGGCCTTCAAAGCATCTCCCTAATAGGCAACCCTATGACGTCTATCCCAGCTTCTATTGCCAAGATATCCAATCTCATATACCTTGACTTGAGCGTTACAGAATTGCCGGAAATTCCAGCGGACTCATTCACAAAAAACTCGAAATTAGAGACGATATACCTAAACAACAACAAATACTTGGCCAAGATTGATGATTGTGCCTTCTGTGAGCTCGAGAACTTGAAGAAAGTCATTATCAACAACTGCGAACAGCTGAATCATATCAATAAGAATGCGTTTGGTTATGTTGAAGGTAGTGGACCAAAGGAATTGACCGTTTTAAAGTTGGACAATAACAATTTGACAACGTTGGACGAAGGCTTGGCTAAATGGGAGGATTTGGAAGGCATTGCTTTAGGCAAAAATCCTTGGATCTGCGATGACAAGTTGGAATGGATGATCAAAACACCCGGACTTCATTTGATTGGCGATGAAGTGCCGAAGTAAGTGTTTAGCTTGGTATTATGAAGCTTAATTTTATTGTGTTTACGCTTGGAAAATTTATTTTTAGGTTGAAAAGAAGTGTGTTTAGGCTTAACGGATTTATTTTTAAGCTTTAAAGACGGATGGTTAGGCTTATAAATTGAATGTTTGGATGACTTAAATTATAATAGGTTTTAGGCTTAGTAGGTTAGAATAAGTGAGCTAAAACTTAGTAGACTAAAGAATAGTATGCTTAGGGTTAGTAGACTTCGGATTAGTAGGGTTAATCTTAGCAGGCATAGGCTTAGTAGGCTTATGCTTAGTAGGCTTAGGCTAAGTAGGCTTACTTTTAGCGAACTTAAGCTTGTTTTATACGTTTAAGCATAAGGGCTGAAGCTAATAAGGCTTACAGAACTTCAAATGAACAGTCTAACCTCTAAAAACCTTATTTCAGATGCAATGCCCCATCAGAATTGGCAGGCAAATCAATTCCTCAACTTCGAGGTCAAGCCGGAACTCCAGAAGCCTCTCCAACTTCAAACTCATTCTTTGCGTCAGCCTTCTACGCTCTTCTAACCATAGTGCTACTATCAGGAATTGTGGTAGCTGGCTTTATAATGTGGACCAAACGTCATTCAAACCCATTTTATCGACCGACCATGCCCAATGTTGGGTTTAGCAACTTGACCGCCGAGTTGGACATGGATGATGAGATGATGACGTTGGCTGACGAGGATGAAGAAGCCTTACCCAAACCTGTGGCCGTATAATGCGGCATGAGATACGGTGCAATATGTACATCTGGTTTTTTGAACATACGGGCATTCCGGTGTAATTTACTGTGATAATTTTTGTTTTACTGTCATTTTGGTTTATAAATATATATATATACTTTATTTTACATTTTTACTGTGATAGTAGGTAAGATAACAACAAAATACAATATCAAACGACTTATTATGTCTTGTAAAGAAAGTTCTTGCCATTTTAAGTTTTGTAAAGAAAGTTCTTGCCGTTTTTTGTTTTGTAAAGAAAGTTCTTGCTATTTTGTGTCCAAAAACAGTAAAATCAATAGTTTTTCTGTTTGTTTATACTCAATCAAGTATCCGATATTGATCACAAGAGTGAACAAACATTGATTTTCTTCTTTTTTGGACGCCATTTTGCTTTACCTTTGCCTATTCTCGACCCAACCCAGCCGAGATGAGTCAATATTTAAATTTTTTAATATTTTTCTTGGTTTTTTACTTTTTTCGACCAGTTTTTGGGCTTGATGGTCGATTTGACAATCCTTGGTGGTAAGGCTTTTGAATGGCAATAACTTTCTTTACAGAACAAAAAATGGCAAGAACTTCTTTTACAAAACAAAAAATGGCAAGAACTTTTTTTACAAGGCTTAAAATAGCAAGAACTTTCTTTACAAAAGGAAAAAATTGCAAAAACTTTCTTTACAGGGAACGTCAAAGCTGGGGGCCAACTACGACAACCGGTCCTCCTCAACCAGGTATTAAAACTCGGAGCTTGTCAGGAACGTTCGCATCAGACGGTCGAAAGCAAACCAATGCTGATGTGATTTTGTTAATGACCGTCGGTTTGAGGGATGGATTTGCAATCCGAAGAGTTAAAGCCTTCAATGACAGAATATTCTTGGACCGATACAGGAGAAGCTATTGGTTGGGCACTAGGTACTATGATAAGGTAGGAAAACTTGCCTTGCCTTGCCTTGCCTTGCCTTGCCTTGCCTTGCCTTGCCTTGCCTTGCCTTGCCTTGCCTTGCCTTGCCTTGCCTTGCCTTGCCTTGCCTTGCCTTGCCTTGCCTTGCCTTGCCTTGCCTTGCCTTGCCTTGCCTTGCCTTGCCTTGCCTTGCCTTGCCTTGCCTTGCCTTGCCTTGCCTTGCCTTGCCTTGCTTTGCCTTGCCTTGCTCTATCTTACCTTACTCTACTCTGCCGTGTTCTATCGTTACCTATCTTACCTTACTCTATCTCATTCTACCTTACTCTACTTTATCTTACTCTACCGTACATTGCCGTACTGTATTGGACTTTACTTCATGCTATCTTACCATACCTTTTTCTATCTTATCAAGCCTTAACCTGTGCTGTATCTTAGTACATATTATTACTATTTCTAACACACACTCTATCGTACTAAGTTATGTTCTTAGCGTTTTTTATTTTTTGCTTCTTCAGTGACTACTGCCGTATTTTACCTTACCCTACTATATTTATATTCCTGTCTTACCTAATCTCTTTGTTTTTTCTTCTTGTAATTGTACTGTAACTAAATGCCATTATAAAACTTCCAGGACAACTTCTACTACTTAGACACCAGAGACACCTGCATCTACAACATGGATCAAGACGAACGTAAAGAGCTTGAGTACGAAGACGGTGAACCGATCTATCAGATTGTTTATCAGTAGGTTTTAATGATTTTGACATTTCTTGTAAACATCTAATGGTTTTGCCATTTTTTTAAATCTTTTCATGTTATAAGGCCAGTGGTCCAACTTTTTCGACACATATGTTGTTTTAGATGCCAACGCTACGCTCAATATTGTTGTGGGTTGGATTGTTGTCAAAACACTGGCGCTTTTCGAGAAGGATAACTTATGATAAGTTTTGTATTGATATTGTGATAACAATAAAAAGTGAACTATATTTGGGTTTTTTTTTGGTTTTTTGACCTTATTCTTAGTAAGTTTAGGCTTAGTGAACTTAGGCTTAGTAGGCTTAAGCTTAGTAGGCTTAGGTTCAGCAGGCTTAAGCTTAGTAGGCTTAGGCATAGTAGGCTTAAGTTTAGTAATCTTATACTTCATAGACTTTGGCTTAAAAGCGTTATTAGATATAAACCTTCGTTCTACGCTACCTTACTCTACGCTCCCTTTGCTTATTTCATTCCTTGCTTCAGCCTTGACATATCCTTGCCGTTTCTCACACATCATCCTCATATTTCACCTTTCATACCGTACCTTAACTTTACCTTAACCTTTCCTACCCTACTTTAACATATTTTAAGTTACCTCACCCTACAATGTTATTCTCTCGAAACATTCGAAACACTGCCATAACATTTGAGCCCTCAAAATGCAACGTATTTAAAATGCATTTCAAGAGCCTGAAGTGGGTGTTTTCCTCCGGCGAATCGATTCTCATGGGTGCACTATTTTGTCTCACCGTGCCGTTCCTCATTTCGCGTTTTGTTTTCCAGAAGCAATTTAATTTTTGCAATTGGTAAATTGAATTTATGGCCAAATATTGAACGTGAACGCCGCCGTTCGCCAGTGTTTTTCGTGGGAATACTGGGATAAACGTTAAAGTTTTAGGAACTGGCACTAGGCAGTCACTTTTTATAGCGTTGCACTGTGCAGAAAAAAGACTTGTCGTTAATTTGTACTGTTTTTTAAAATTTAAATTTTTTTACTTTATCCTACTCTACCGTACCCTACCCTACATTACCCTACTTTACCCTACCCTATCCTACCCTACCCTACCCTACCCTACCCTACCCTACCCTACCCTACCCTATCCTACCCTGCCCTACCCCACTCTACCTTACTCTCTCCTACTTTACTTTACTGTAACCTGACCTAACTTACTTTATAGTGCCCTACCTTACCATACTGTACTCTATCTTAATCCGCCCTGCCTTACTGTAACCCCCTAACCTTCCTCCTACCTCTCCCACCTACTTTAATTAACCCCTTCCTCTCATCCCCTTCCCACTTTTCCCTCCCGCCGCCCAAACCCGCGCCTTACTTTATACTGCCTTCCCAATTCGACCCCACCCTACTCCACTTTACCCGGACCTCTACCCTACACAACCTTGATATATACCACTCTAATCTAACGTACCTTACTTTACTTTATCGTGTTCTTCCTTACTTGTCCTAACCTATGACCAGGGCCGGGAGCGAGGGGAGGGGGACGGGGGGGGGTACATCCTCCAGAAAAAAATTTTTTGAAAAAAGTTGAACGTGTTCCCCCCCCTGTGGATTTTCGGAAAAAAAAATTTGCAAAAAATCGGCAGAGTTAGCTACCTGTGCCGATTTTTTGGACCTTTGCCCCCAGACCAAAAGTCCCCGCCCGGCCCTGCCTATGACCCACTCTATCCTGCCCTACTCTCGCTCTACCCTGACCTGCCTTACTCTGTGTTAGACTGAGTTCTCTTGCTTAGCTTTGCCCTAGACAAATCTTATGCCATTCAGAAGCTCAAGAGTGGATCTCTCCACAAAATTAGGGTTAATTTGCATTAGGCCGCGCGGACTTTTAAACCGGGCCAGCTCGGAGCGACGCATCTCTTTTTTCGAAAAATAAATTTGGCCGTTTTCTTTCGCTTTTTCGGCCGCAAAACGGCCCTTTTTCAGACTTTTTGGGAATATAAAACCGAGGGAATGCTTTAAGGGACACTATTTGTTCCCCAATAACAATATTTTAATCGAATTCTTGTTTACCGAGCGCTCTATTTGTGTTTTCGAGTGCCTGAGGCGATTCATTTCCGTTACGGCCAAACCGCCACGGTTCGGCGTGAGGCCGCGGGCATGCGTGTGATAGGGGTGGGGGTGGAAAGAAAGTTTTTGCAAGTTCTTGTTTTGGAAAGAAAGTTTTTGCCATTTCAAAAAAAAATTTGAAAATTGGGTATGATAAGACTGTGTAAAAAAAAGTTCTTGCCATTTTGAGTCTTGTAAAGAAAGTCCTTGCCATTTTTTGTTTTGTAAAGAAAGTTCTTGCCATTTGATCTTATATAAAGAAAGTTCTTGCCATTTTTTGTTTTGTAAAGAAAGTTTTTGTCATTTTAGGCTTCGTAAAGAAAGTTCTTGCCATTTTTTGTTTTGTAAAGAAAGTTTTTGCCATTTTTTGTTTTGTAAAGAAATTTCTTGTCATTTTTTATTTTGTAAAGAAACTTCTTGCCGTTTTTCGTTTTTTAAAGAAAGTTCTTGCCAGTTTTTGCTTTGTAAACAAAGTTCTTGCAATTGCCTCTTCTGTAAAGAAAGTTTTTGCCATTTCCTATTCTGTAAAGAAAGTTCTCGCAATTGCCACAGAAGTTGTTTTGTTAAAAAAGTTTCTTCATATTTCATTAATCTTGATGTCATGCGACCATCTCAACATTATTTTGTAATTTCAGTCGGCACTCAGCTTGGACTATTTATCTCCAAAGCGCCTTATGGATTTGTTAGGGATCCGAGAGAACACGGCCTCCAGGCCTTCGCTTATCTCTTCAATATGGTCATTGCAGGTTCAAACACAGGTGAATTTAAGTTTGTTTAAGGTTGGAAAGAAAGTTCTTGCCATTTTTCGTTTTGTAAAGAAAGTTCTTGCCATTTCTCTTTTTGTAAAGAAAGTTCTTGCTACTCTACGAAGCTATGGGGCGTATTTTACCTAAAAATCCCTTTAAGGAACTAAATTTAAATCCATTTTTCAATTTAAGCCCTGAGGCTAATAAGGTTTCTTTGTTCGAAACACGTCATTTCCCGACGTCAGAAGGCAATTTCAGATGAAGCAGATAATTTTTGGTGTGGGAATTGGCATTAGAATTTTTTAAACTAATTTTGAAAAATTTTTTTTGAAATTTAAATTTTTTTAAATTTTAAAAATTTTTAAATTTTTAAAAAAAATTTCAGAATTGAAAACAGATATTAAATTTTAATTTTAAACATTTTCCAGATTATAAAAATTTTTTAATATGAAGAAACTTTCTTTACAGCAAGAACCCACAAACCTAGAATTACCGACCGGTTCACAACAATCACTACCTCAACTGCTCGAAAATGCCCCAACGACCAGTAATGACGATGGGAATGGGCTTCGGCATACTAGGAGCTTGTCAGGTATGTTAATTTTGCTAAATTTATGATTAAATTCAATAATTTGCACTGTTCAGCCTTTTGTTTTGATTGCACCGTGCAGTTTTTATTTTGATTGCACCGTGCAGTCTTTATTTTGATTGCACCGTGCAGTCGTTATATTGCTTGCACCGTACATACTTTGTTTTAATTGCACAGTGCAGTCATTTTTATGTCTTTGCACCGTGCAATCTTTCTATTGTTTGCACTGTGCCGCCTTTATTTTGATTGCACTGTGTAGTCTTTATATTGATTGCATTGTGCAATCTTTCTATTGTTTGCCTGTGCAGTCTCTATCTTGCTTCCACCGAGCAGACTTTATTTAAATTGCACCGTGCAGTCTCTATTTTTTTGCACAGTGCAGACTCTATTGTGCTTGCACTGTGCAGTCTTCATTTTGATTGCCCCGTGCTGTCTTCAGTTTGATTGCACAGTGCAGCCACTTTTATATCTTTGCACTGTGCAAGGCCACAAATATCTACCTTTCTCTCAAAAAAACGTTATTAGCTATAATAATATAAACTAATAACGCAACAAAAACCTTTGTCATGGATCCAGCTAGTATGTCGAGTGTAAAACATCTCAATTTTCGTAATTTTCGTCGCATTTCAGAGCTAAATTCCCTGTTTCGCGACGATGAGAAGGGCTGTCGAATGCAAGAAGCGCCTTCATTCGTATGGCAAAAGGACACTTCACAGTGCGCTGAGAACAAAATAACGAAGCAACAGAAGGAGAAGAACATTTGCGAATGGCTACAGAAGCTACAGTTCAACGAAGGTGTTAGTCAAGCGATGAGTACGAGCGTTTCGCCGACTATGAGCAGTCGGTAGAGCTATGTTAATATAGTTTTTTGGTCGGAAATTGTGTTGTTGACAGCTTTCTTTGAAAAACAAATGTTTTATACCTAAAATTATGTCATTTTATAATATTTTATACCTGTTCGAATGTTGTTCTACTCTAATTTTACTAGTTTTATCTACATAATTCGACTTTTCTTGGCCTGTGACCATTTTGTTTTTATCATAACTTTTTTTAAAAAATAGGTAACAACTTGAAAATTTGTGAAATTGCAGCTTACTTATATTGGCAACTACCCTAAAACAAAAATTTTGAAATTCACTATGCGTCAAAAGTTACAGTATTTCAACCACAACCAACTTTTTCCAAATTTTACCGACTCTACATGGGTCATTTAAAATTAGTGTAACTTTTCAATTTTTATGAAATTAAAAATTTTCTTTTAACAATAACCTGAGGCAATTGATGAACTATGTTTGCCTAAAATTTCAAGTTGTTACCTATTGTTTTAAAAAAGTTATAATAAAAACAAGCCGGCCGGTATTCTTCTAGTCTATCGCCATTTTTGGTCGATATTTTAAACTTGTAGTTCAAGCGACAAAATCTTCAAGAAATCTTTTGAAGTTTCCAGTATCAACCATTTATGGGTCCAATTGATCTCTCTTTCCGTGTAATTTTATATTATCTATGCTAACTTCCGCTAGACGGAAACTACTGTTATCTAAAAAAATTAGGTGGGTATAGCTACAAAATAGATTTTACAAGCTTTTCTCAGGATAATCTTCCATTTTATTAGTTTTCAGATGGGTTGCAGTGTTTTTGTTTTTGAAAAATGAATATTTGGGGAAAAATCAAGGTTTCTAGGCCAAAAAAGTTGCTTTTTGATAGAAAAACGGCTAAAATGACATTTAAATCCCTGCTAAAAAACAAATTGATACTTTGTTCAAATCTTCATAATCATATTGTACTTTTATTAGCAAAATAAATTATTTATTGATACATAATCTCATGCGCATTTGTTGGCCAGGAACTCCAGTGTAATGTCCTCGAGGTCACGAACTTCGGCACACTGAAAGTTTAAAAAAAGATTTTTGTTTTTTTTAATCGAATAAAACGTATTTTACAATCAAAAAACTTAATATAAGTATAATCAAGCCAAGTTTTACCCAAAATCACTCAAAGATATTATCCATTGCCATGGCAAGTTTGATCTTTCACCAAAATTGATTTAGAAAAGCAATCTTTACCTTTGACAGTTCGCAAAGATTGACCAAATTGTTCCTACTACCAGCGTACAACATTGTAAGCTCTATTGAACATCCTGGAGGACTGTAGAAGATAAAACAAAGGGGATATGTTATCCTTCCATCATCCTTCTTGTTCTCGAAGGAAATCAGCACAAATCGCGGCTGATGGGCTGGGATTTGCTCGGTAATCTCTTCTATTATGACATCCTGAAAAGTAACCATCCTTTACAATTAAAATCCAACATTAATTTCCAAGTTTAAACTCGAAAAACAGATTTCAGCCATCAATACCTACTACAACACATCGTGGTGTAAAAACTGACCTCCAGCTCCTCCTCGATCTGCAATTTCATTGTGTCCTTGTCTGCTTTCACTGTAGAAACATAAATTAACTTTAAAATATTAAAAACTTGCATATCAAAGCATTTGTCGTTTTGCTTTTGGCGAATCGAAACTTTTTCACCCGCTCCACAACATATTCTGGTACCGTGCACACTGTTAAGGTAGCCTGAAAATATCAAAATTTAATTTAAAATGACGGCAAGATGCGTAAAATTATTGATGTAATGTATAAAGTTAGAAAAACATCAATTGGCAGAGATATGACTTCAAATCTATATTCAGAGATATGACTTCAAATCTATATTATATTACACATGAGATCAAACAAGCTTGCTCATGAATTTTAATGAAAAGAAGCTGAGTTCTAAGTCAAATCACACAATTTTTGAGATAAGCGTTGAAAAGCCTAAACTTTCTTGTTCTGTCAAACAAAATCAACCAACTTCGTCCATTCAAAAAGTTATGACCAAAAGAAAACTTTCAACATGCCCAAAACAGATTAATTCTAGATTTTCGACTATCTCAACAAAAAATTCAAAAACTCTTACCATCGCTTTCGCCTGACCTTCCTGAATCTCCAATGTATCTAAAACAATAGACGTAAACACCACAAACAGTCGCGCATAACAACAATAACAAAACGATCTTCTTATGACTCATATCAACATAAAACCGCCCAAATCTCCATTTAACCCCAAAACAGCTGAATTCAACGTCAAAGCGTTTTGTTCATACGAAGTGCAGTTCATAAAAAGCTAAAGTGACCGCTTCCAGTCCAATTTCCGAGTGTTATAAACAAAAAAAAGTGAGACACTTCCGAAATTTGCGCGCACAAAAGAAATTGAATTTTAAAATTCATATTGAGAACAAATCGGAGAACTTTTTGAATTAAAAACAATGTAGAAAAGACTATGGAGAATATGCTACATTACTGATATTTTGATTTGGCGTTAACTTCAATGAAAATCAAGGAAAAAGTAGAGTAAATGAGGTGAATCAGCACCTAAAACACCAAATTTTTAAGATTTTACCTAAAAATCGATCTACCATGCCTTACAGCTAATTAATTTACAGTAACTTTTCTAACAGTATCAAAGTAAAAAACATTGCGTATCACAAAAAAATTACAGTACTTCCCATTTTCAGCCAAACATTTTATTCACGATTTAATTATTTTAGTCCTGCCACGGAAACAAACTCTGGGTAAAACAGAATGCCAAAAACGTCAATTATTCTAAAAAATAAAATTAGATTTTGACAAATATTGGTAGAATAATGTCAGATAATGAATTCGAAACGGCAGGGAACGTTGAAAGTCGAAGGAAGAGCCCAACATATTCATCTAAGGCAAGTTTAACATCAAAATTTGTGGAAAGTTTAAGATTTTGTAAGGTTTTTAATTGGAATTGTTAAGTTTAGGTAATAGCAGTCTTGGACGACATCGGACAGTCAGAATTCTATGATCCGGATTTGGATATGACTTCAGTGATCAACAGATTGTTTCCAACAGAGCAAAGTTTGAGTTTATTGGACTCGGTTGTTCAAAGGATCGATGATGAGGTGAACGACTTGGATAATGAACTGGCGGATCTTGTGGAGATGCATGGCCAAGTCACGGACGATGGAATGGCTGCTTTAGCTAAAGTAAGGTTTAGTTTTTGTTATTTTTGCATATTTAGGTTGAATCTTCAATTTTTATTGGTTTGACGGAGCAAAGAAGTCAAGAGTAATGTAAACTGGTATTGATGGTTTACTTTTAGGCCAATTCAGCTATGAAAGACCTCGAAAGGAGGGTAGATCAGATTAGAAGTAAAACACAGTTATCAGAGTCGACTGTGCTGGACATGACACGCGATATAAATCAATTGGACGTTGCCAAGAAGAACTTGACTTCTTCTATAACATGTTTACATCATTTACATCTTCTTTTGACCGGAGTGAATTCAATTAGTAAGTCTTCCGAAAGACTAAAATTTTAGCTAACTTTTAAGCGTGTTTTCAATTTTTAAAGGCTTTAAAAATCTTGTGTTCTATCTAAATCAGTAGATTGTTACCTAAAACAACATTATTTTCTAAAACTTACTTTAATATATTGATTCAACATTTAACAAAAGTAATTTTCTAGCTCAATGGATGGTTACAAAACGATATGGAGACATCTCTACAGAGCTGCCAGCTGTGTTGAACGTTTTACAGCTGTTCGAAGATTACATGCGAGTACCTCAAGTTCGAAATCTGACAGAAAGGCTACACACATTGAAAGAAAAGCTGAGTATACAAGTTGCAGCAGACCTTCAGACAGCTTTTCAAGTATGTATTTTTCTATTTTTGATTGGATTTTAGGTGATATGCGCTAATTATATGGTGATAGATACTTATGTTGATGTTGAGTTATAAAACTTGACTTTGAATCTTTAGTTTAAGAAAATAAAGTTGAAATGTCAGAAAATTAAAGTTCAAGTTCAAAAAAAGGTAATTTTACGTTTCCAGGCAGGCCAGATCAATACAAAAACGGCAGATATGTGCAAAGTAGTATCGATACTTGGGGGAAAAGTCGAAGACGACTTTCGATCATGGTTCATATCATCACGGCTTCAAGAATACAAAGTGCTGTACGCGGATAATGAGGACGTGGCATGGATCGACAAAATTGACCAAAGATTCCGATGGTTCGTATCAAAACTGGCAGAATTCGAACGAACTGGAATGGCCAAGGTCTTTCCGCCAAACTGGGAGATGGGCCGAAGGTTGGCTTTCGAATTCTGTGAAATCACACGATGTCAGTTGGGCCGTATGATGTCGAGAAGAAGGCTGGAGATCGAGTGGAAGCTACTAGCACACGCTATCAATCATACGATCATGTTTGAGAACTTACTCTGTAAACGATTCCCGGCGAAAGACAACTTCAATTTCGAGAAAATCATTTGGAAATGCTTTGACAACTTCATGGATGTGTTTGTCGCGGCCCAGTCGAAGAGTTTGACACAATTTCTGGAAGATTGTGCTACAAAGATTCGAAGTGGTGAAGAGAAGCCAATCAAAGAGGCTGTGGTCAGTGCTCATCCACTACCTTCAAGTGCTGACCTGTTCTTGTTGTTGAAGAAGATTATTACGGAGTCGAGCAAGCTGAGCGCGGATCCAAATTCATTGTTATTGTAGGTTTTTGGGGCATTTTATGGGGTTATTGAGGCATTTTTTGGGGTTTTTGGGGCTGTTTATGGGCTTATTGATACATTTTTAGTCGATTTTTGGTTATTTAATAAAGTTTTTGAGGCATTTTATGTGGATTGTGGACTAATTTATGAGGTTTTTAGGGCATTTTATGTTATTCATTTAAAATGGCATTTTTTTAGAAAGTTAATTGAAGTCTTCAAGCAATGTCTTCGCGGCTACGCTCATGGTTGTCTAACAGCCTTTATGCCTTCGATAACAGCTACTCCATCGAATAGCATTCTTCAGAACTTGATCAGGGAGGAAACCGCTGTCAGGCTGACTGGAGATCAACAATTCTTTTGTTGTTGTATCTTGGCAACGGCTGATTGGTGCGCCGAAACCACGAATCAGCTGCAGGAGAAGTTGCAGCAAAGGATTTCGGTGGGGTTTTGATGTTTTGTTACCGTTTTATTTTTTTTTTTTTTGTTACCTAAAATTTGATTTTTTAAAATTATTGTTACCTAAAATTATATTTTTGAAGTTTTAAAAATTTTGTTACTTAAAATTCCAAAAATATTGTTTTTTCAATTCCAGACAGTCGATTTTGGGCAAGAAATGGAGCTCTTCTACTCGATATCGAATAATGCACTGCAAAGTTTGGTAGCCGATTGCGAAATCTCTTGTGATGCCGCTCTACAAGCCATGACAAAAATAAAGTGAGTTCTTTGAAAAAATTGGGATTCTACGTAACAATTTTTTAATTTTTGGGATTTTGGGTAATATTTTTAAGGTTTTGGAATTTTAGGTAATATTTTTAAAAATTTCGAGATTTTAGGTAACATTTTGGATTTTTTTTTGCAATCTAGGTAACATTTTTGAAAATTTTTGAATTTTGGGTAATATTTTTATATAAGCTTCACAATTTCAGTTGGAACAACGTAGAAGCCGTAGGCGACGAATCAGCTTACATATCAGCGATCAGGAAGCACCTCCGTCAGTCAGTACCACTAATACGAGACTACTTCGCGGACCGAAGGAAGTACTTTGCCCACTTCTGTCTCAAACTCGCCACTCAACTGGTCAATAAGTATATGGGAGCCATATTCCGATGTAAACCATTATCAGTGATGGGAGCCGAGCAACTTCTACTCGATACCCACGCCTTCAAAACCTTCCTATTGTCATTACCGTCGGTAGGCAGTAGCATCGTGGTGAAACCTCCAACGCCCTTTACATCCGCAGTAAATGAAGGAATGACGAAGGCAGAGATGGTACTCAAAGTGGTAATGTCCGACATATCCAAGACTGAGGACTTTATACTGAACTATGCCAGAATGATGCCACGATCCGACGCCAACGAGCTTCAGAAAATATTGGAGATGAAGGCGCTGAAGAGGTCGGAAGTGGCAGCGATAGTCCAGCTATATAGGACCAAGATTGAAGGATTCGTACCAACAAGTACCACTGCACCATCGGTCTCAATGCCGTCCGCTTTCTCGGCCTTTGCTTCATTGGCTTCGGACAACTTTACTGATTCAAGCATGAGGAGGTTGGAGAAGTTGGTCAAAAAGTTGTAGTTATTGCTCATTTAGTTGTAGTAGATGGGTAATATCTGGTGGAAAAGATGTATATTGTTATATTAGATTGTTCACTTAATTCTGCGCCCCCTCCCCCCTTCCAAGGCTAATTTGTGGGGTATGGGGCGCAGGATTATGTTAACAATCTAATATGAGGGAAATGGTGGAAAACTTGTGCCAATATGTGATAAAATGATGTCAGTGATAATATGATGTATAATATATTTATAATAATATTGTTTGCAAATTTTAATATTGTGATAAATCCCATACCAAAGCATAATTTTCCCAACGGAAATGTAATTTTTATTCGGATAAACGCACTTGAACTCGTACTTAAAAGTCGATGACGGAGAGCGGGCCATTGTTCCTCCTCCTTATGTTATTATGGATACCTGGGCCCATTTTTTCTTGATTTTTTTAACTTCGTTAAATTTGGAGGCACACAAGTGTTCAGGGTGAGTTTTTATGGCTATATAATATGGCCAAGTTATTTTTTCAATATTTTTTTTTAATTTTTGGTTTTTCGAAAAATGAAAGATTGGTGGAAGATTTTCAGTGCAAAATACATTACAAATCTTCCACTGTAATTCCACTTTTAAAAAGTGTTAAAAACTCATTTTTAGGCCATTTTAAGACATTTTTAAAATGGAAATTGAGTGGAAGATTTTTAGTGCAAAATACATTAGAAACCTTCCACTGAACTTCCACTATTAAAAAGTGTCAAAAATGCATTTTAGGTCATTTTAAGGTAGTTTAGAAAATGATGGTTGAGTGGAAGATTTTTAGTGCAAAATACATTACAAATCTTCCACTCAACTTCCACTTTTGAAATCATGTTACTTTTTGTTTTGTAAATAAACTTCTTGCAATTTAATGGTTTGTATTGAAAATTTCTGCAATTTTTATTCCGTTACAGTACACGTCGTATTTTACAGAGTAAAATGTCTGGAAAAGCGAGAATCGCAGAAACCGGCCGGAACTCGAGGAGTGGGCAAATCGTGCACATTGACGACAGATTGTGTGACTGGAGCGTTCTGCGACAATAATTATTGTCGATGTTGGTCATCCTACGTTCATATTGAGGATTTCTGTTGGAAACGTAAGTTTCTTATTATTTTCTGGTCTGGAAAGAAAGTTCTTGCTATTTTATGCACTTTAAAGAAAATTCTTGCCAATTTTTGTTTTGTAAAGAAAGTTCTTTCCATTTTGTGTTTTGTAACGAAAGTTCTTGCCAGTTTTATCAAAACAAGACAATTTTGTGTTTTGCAGCCTGCGGGTGACATCTTATACGATGAAAATAACATTTTTTGATTTTCAATTATTCCACCTTAGTAAAACACTATTGTAGGTATCAACCCAGAAGAGTCTGGCTGCACATACGATGCGCAGTGCGAAGCAGTTTGGCCTGGTGCTAAATGTGCATCATCTGGAGTATGCCATTGTGCTGATGGTGAAGTTACAGTACCCACGAGAGAAGGGTTGGCATGCCATATTCAAAATGAATGTCCGACCAATGGTGTGAATGCCGTTTTGTTTAACAGGAACAGTAATCGAAAGGCGGAGTGTTATTTTTTTGATAGGCATGGTCAAGAATTACCTGGACACTTCATGGGGTGCGAGGATGCACCAGAGATGTATGATTGTATTGATGGGTTGTGTTGTCCTAGTAGAGGTGAGTTAGGTAGGGTAGGGTAGGGTAGGGTAAGGTAGGGTAGGGTAGGGTAGGGTAGGGTAGGGTAGGGTAGGGTAGGGTAGGGTGGGGTAGGGTACGGTAATGTAGGGTAGGGTAGGGTAGGGTAGGGTAGGGTAGGGGTAGGGTAGGGTGGGGTAGGGTACGGTAATGTAGGGTAGGGTAGAATAGGGTAGGGTAGGGTAGGGTGGGGTAGGGTACGGTAATGTAGGGTAGGGTAGGGTAGGGTAGGGTAGGGTGGGGGTAGGGTACGGTAATGTAGGGTAGGGTAGGGTAGGGTAGGGTAGGTTGGGGTAGGGTAGGGTGGGGGTAGGGTAGGGTGGGGTAGGGTAGGGTAGGGGTAGGGTAGGGTAGGGTAGGGTAGGGTAGGGTAGGGTAGGGTAGGGTAGGGTAGGGTAGGGTAGGGTAGGGTAGGGTAGGGTAGGGTGGGGTAGGGTACGGTAATGTAGGGTAGGGTTCGATTGGTTGGGATAGGGTAGGGTAAAGAAATTTTAAAACTTTTGGGAACAAAGCTTTTGCCATTTTCAGCGTTTACCTGTATTCAACCAATGGATGGAGGTCAATTAGCTAACGATACAAAACCCGTGAAGCGTTGGTTTTACAATTCGGCTACCTCAACTTGTCGTCAATTCACTTATGGTGGTCTACAGGGCAACTCGAACAACTTTTTGACGAAACAACATTGTGAGAGCTACTGTTTAAGCCGTAAGTTATTTGCCTCGCCTTGCCCTGGCCTTGCCCTTGCCTTGCCTTGCCTTGCCTTGCCCTGGCCTTGCCCTGGCCTTGCCCTGGCCTTGCCCTGGCCTTGCCCTGGCCTTGCCCTGGCCTTGCCCTGGCCTTGCCCTGGCCTTGCCCTGGCCTTGCCCTGGCCTTGCCCTGGCCTTGCCCTGGCCTTGCCCTTGCCTTGCCCTTGCCTTGCCTTGCCTTGCCTTGCCTTGCCTTGCCTTGCCTTGCCTTGCCTTGCCTTGCCTTGCCTTGCCTTGCCTTGCCTTGCCTTGCCTTGCCTTGCCTTGCCTTGCCTTGCCTTGCCTTGCCCTGCCCTGCCATGTCTTGCCTTGCCTTATTCTTCCCTGCTTTACCCTTTCCTACTTTACACTATCTCAGCCTACCATACCCTACCATTAGTTATAAGGGTCATTATATTATAGCACAAATGCTCTCGCGTTTTCGGGGGCAAGGGTTCAACAGTGCCACTAAAAGTGGGGGACAAAGCGCAAAAGTCTGGGACAAACCGGTAGGCAGATATTTGTCCGAAACTTATGAGAGGGCGTGGAATTTGCCAAGATGGTGATGATGAAAAGTCGGTGAGGGGAAGGGGAGAAAAAGTTGAAGTTGCTAAGGGATGGGGGATGAAAAGTCGCGGAAGTTGCTGAACTAATTGAACGCTTTCAATGCATGTTTTAATTCTAATTTCATTGATGAATTCCATATTTACTTCAATTCAAAATATAGATTCGTTACCGATCGTCTTTTCCGATAATTTGTGACTTTTCGTTATTGCGGCCGCTTTTTTATTTTTTGTCGTGTTTTCGGCTGTAATAGGGTCCAAACTTTACGGATGTTCATCGGTTTTGTTCCCAGAGAAGCGGAAAAATATAGTTAATATTTTAAACAAAATTTAAAACTAAAACCATTTCTTACAACATATATAAATCGTGTAATTTAAAATATATTTTACAACATTTTTGTATTTTTAATTATTCGAATCAATCTTGGGGGCGACGAAATGTCTACAATCGATTTTTTCATAATTTTCTATTTTTGGGGAGCCGTGCATGTTCCGATGTTCTGTAGCTGTTCGGGTATAATTCGCTTGCCAGGGTTATATTGGTCATTATATCGCCACTTTGTGGGAGAGCGTGTGCTCTGTCTACTGAATCATAGAGGAAGCTATTACGATTGGCATGAACGCATGTCTGTATGAAGCGGATTGACTAAGCTTCATTACGTCCGGTGCTCTGCCGTATGTCTCTCTTACGGAGATCCCGGTTGAGAATATCCCGTTTGTATAATTACGATTTTGTACAATTCGTCCGACTTGACCGTGTACCGGTCTTACGTCCAGGACAAGCATGTGTGCGGAGTCGGGTTGGTGTGATCCTTATACAAGTTCATTTTCATTTGGTACATAATATGTCACAACCTTTTTCGTCCAAGTTCTTACGATTGTAGAACACATCAAGTACTATTACGTAAAATGCAATTTCGTTTAAACAACATATTTAATTTTACTTTTTTAGTAAAATTAAATCGTTTTTAAAAAACACGAAACAAAGGTTTTACCTACTTGTCTTTGTTTATGAAAATGTATAACTCTTTTCTGGAAATAAGGTTAGTCTTTTTGTTGACTGTAGTATCTTTGTGAACATACAAGGTGGTTTCTGCCAAACTTTCTATTGTTTGGCTTTAAGAACCTTCACAACATCTCCAATTTTTAACTTACGGCTTGGTAATTTGAACTTAACGCCCGGCCACATGATTACGATTGGTCAGGTAGTCTAAAAGTAAAATTCGTAAAAATTGTTCTTTTATTTGTAAATGAGTACTTATTTTAACGAATTGTAAAAGTTAGTTTGGTACCTTGTGCTATTTTACTATACAAGTAGTACCAGCTGAACGTGTTAGTGGTAGTATTTTTACTATATGTTATTCTATGTTACTTTGTGTGTGGTACTAGGTGAATGTGTGAGTGGTACTGTTTTTACTATAAGTTATTCTATGTTACTATACAATTAGTGCTAGGTAAAGTGAGTGGTACTGTTTTTACTATAATTTATTCTATTTTACTTTGTGTGGTTACAAAGCTTACCTTCGAAGCATAGCCCGTTTGTAGTTTGGCCTGTTACGTCTTCAATGAGATTAGTGATAGTGTTGGGAACAAATTCGTCGTATTCGATAGATGTAACTGTACCCCTGACTACGATTTGTGTCACAGAAGTTGGTTTTGATGACCGGCAAATCTGTAGGGAAAATAAAAAATTGAACTCGTAAATTGATTTAAATTTACAAACTGTTTGTATTAAATATATTATCCACCAACAAAAAAATACAAAACTGTGTTTTGTAAGTCGCTTACTTTTTACGTCAAAGATTTCATTTGCGCTGTATCCAAATAACCAAGGTAAGACGAATTTTAAAACTTGTCTAGCCCATTTGGCTTTTGAGCGTGTTATGCCTGGTGAATGGGTCAGAATCAACACTGCAAGTAGTAACAGTATGGCATTTACGTTGCTTGCATTCGTGTTGAGAAAAAAAGATAACAAAATGAATAACGAATATCTGCATCCAATTGCAAACGTTGTTTTAGCTCATTTATTTCTTCCCTTTTGTTTACGACTTTTATAACATCTTTACAATTAAAAAACTCGACCGACAAGTAATCAATGTGCGAAGATGCTTACGTACGCTTCTTGCGCGTTATTTATTCTGGGCAGGTCGCTATGGACAGTACGGTGATGATTCCATGTCGTTTTAGGAAACCGTGCTTCCTCCTCGTCACTTCCAATGTAAACACTATAATTAAATATATACATATATGAACTTACTAATTACGAAGCTTTCTGTTATAGCCGGGAGCATTCCAGGTCTTCTAACCTGCTCACCGAGTTCTTTTACAGAGCAATCTTTAACATTCAATACCAATTTCTTTCTTTATCCTTTATTCACTAGTTGAGAAGACTAGTGAATAAAGACCATCTGCCCGTCGGCAAGTGGAGCCTACAACAGTTAACCCGACTGGCGATAACGGAGGTACCTCTGGGTTTTAAAGCGGCTTTCGGACTCATTAATCAGTCTAGGAAACCTTATATTTATAACCTTGAGATTGCCTCGTTACATTTGTATAAACGATTATGTATAGTTCATCCGATTTGACCGTATATCGGTCAAATGTCTACGACAAACACGTTTGCGGGGTCGGGTTTACGATGTCCTTGTATAGATGATCAACTTCCGTAATGCCGTAGCGTGCCCGAAGATCTCTTTTTTACAAGTTCCCAGGATTGTAGAACACATCAAGAACTACGGCATGGTCGTATAAACTGAAATTTTATTTAAAAACCATGTTTGATTTACATTTTTCTAGTAAAATCATATTGTTTTTAAAAGAGCACAAAACAAAGGTTTTACCTACTTGTCTTTGTTTATGAAGGTGTAAAACTCGTTTCTTGAAGTAAGGTTAGTCTTTTTGTTGACTGTAGTATCTCTGTGAACATACAAGGCGGTTTTTACGGAACTTTTCGATTGTTTGGCTTCTAGAATCTTCACAACATCTCCAACTTTTAGCTTACGGCATGGTAGTTTGAACTTAATGATTACGGTTGGTAATGTAATCTAAAAGTAAAATTCGTAAAAATTGTTCTTTTATTTGTAAATGAGTACTTATTTTAACGAATTGTAAAAGTTAGTTTGGTACCTTGTGCTATTTTACTATACAAGTAGTACCAGGTGAACGTGTTAGTGGTAGTGTTTTTACTATAAGTTATTCTATGTTACTTTGTGTGTGGTACTAGGTGAATGTGTGAGTAGTACCGTTTTTATTATTAGTTGTTCTATTTTACTTTGTGTGGTTACAAAGCCTACCTTCGTAGCATAACCCATTTGTAGTTTGTTACGTATTCAAATAGCCCATTGAAAGTTGTGGGAACAAATTCGTCGTTTACGATAGATGTTATTACGCCTCTGATTTCGACTTTAAGCGGAAAATTGGCTTTTACGCTAAGATCCATGGTAATACGTATTTTGAAATTCGTCTAGTCCATTTGGCTTGTGAGGTGACACCTAGTGAATGGGTCAGAATCAACACTACGAGTAGTAGCAGTTTTCGATTCATGCTGATTGCATTCATGTTAAGAAAATAAGAAAACAGAATGAATAGTAAACATCTGCATCCACTTGCAAACGTTGCTCTAGCTTATTTATTTCGTTTACGTTTGCCAATTGTTCTATATACATTATTAAGAACTATAGCATCCGGTTGTACTGGTTCATCGGGTATTTCAATGTCATGTTCTCGGTCATTCCAAGAGTCAAAACGATTTCTTAGTAGCAAACGTTGAAAAATTAGTTTGGTCAAAATCTCAGCCGGAGCCAAGTGTCCGTTAAAAATGCTACAGAGTGTGTAACTAATTTGTCGTTGACTACGTGTTTTCTCTTCCAGCGAATAGCAAAATGCCCAGAAGGGTTTCGTTCATAGAAAATCATTTGGGTTTGCATCTCTTGTTCTACGTTTTGTTATGCTGTCAATAGTTTTGAAAAACTTGAACGACAAGTAATCAATGTGCGTAGATGCTTACGTATGCTTCTTGCGCGTTATTTGTTCTGGGCAGGTCACGGTCAACAGTACGGTGATGATTCTATGTCGTTTTAGGAAACCGTGATTCCTCCTCGTTACTTCCAATGTAAACACTATAATTTAAATATATACATATATGAGCTTACTAATTACTACTTACTAATTACGCCTTCATCAATTTTACTACGTGAATATCGAAAGGTTTTGCATCTTTTGGTGCATCGGTGGGAAAAGTCAAAAATGACTTTTTGGTATCTGACGACTACGACATCTTATAAAAACAACCGATCGCAAAACTTGTAGTTTTGAAAAGTGCCGTTTATTCCGACATAGACGGTTTGCAATGTATAAGCTCCGCCTTTTTTTATGTATAAGCTCCGCCTTTTTTTTATCAAATTACATAAAGCGACATAGCGCCGCCGCTTCAGCTGTTCTCAACCGCTCTGTCTCCCTCAATCAAGAGGTTTTTATTCTTTAAATACAATCATAACATAGCAAATATGGTGGGCATTACGTTCCCCCTGCTTTAAAAACGACGTCTCTGTCTTGAAGATAGTAATGAAGTAGAAGAAAAAGTAAAATATCTGTAGATCTTAACACAATTTTTTTGAGAACAAACCTTCATTGTAGAAGTCTGTTACAGCTTGCTTGTAAGTAGCTAGTTATTCTCAAAAAATAGATTATTCAAACTAAAGCCGTATGCAATAAGAATAAGGAAAGGAACGAAAATAACGCGCCAAAACTTACCAGATCGCTGCAGAACTTCCGAGAAGGTGAGACCTTTGCTGACGCGGACAGCAAGTGGGGTCAGGCCTGTTATCCTTTTCCTTCCTTTCGTATGGCTTTATACATAGGGATTATCATGCCGTATGCTATTATTAAATTACACAATTCGCTTTTGTATTCTTCATGATATACCAAACTTTGGCATGAATTAATTAATGAAACTTATATTGAAGTAAATACTGAATTCATCAATGGAATGTTGATTAAAAAATTGTTTTGAATTCACTAACAAAACACATATTAAAACATATAATAAGTTAATTAACTAATATATTGAAAGTATTCAATGAGTTCAGCAACTTTAGCAACTTCTGCAACTTTTTATTTTCTATTTTGTAGCAACTTTTGCAACGTCTACCCTACCCAACCCTAACTTACCTTACCCTACATTGCCCTACCCTACCCTACTGTACCTTAACCTAACCTGATTTTAGGATGCCCTCGTGGCCAACCCTTGCTAGACGATGACAAAGATAGTGAGATAAAATCGAAGAAAGACCTAATTTTAACTTGTCAATCCAATGAAGACTGTAAATCCGACAAATTCAAATGTACTAAAGTACAGTTGACTCATTTATGCTGTCCTGCTTCTGGTGAGTTATTGTTATGAAAATAGCAAGAACTTTCTTTACAAAATAAAAAATGGCAAGAACTTTCACTAAATTTTGAAAAATAGCAAGAACTTTCTTTACAAAGCAAAAAAAATAGTTTTATGCTATTCAAAAAAACCCGGTAAAATTTGTGGCATTTCGTTAAAAATCGATAAGTTTTGTGACATTTCGTCTAAAAGAGCTAAAGCCGGTCATTTTTGTGACGCTTTGTCAAATACATAGAGACTGATAAGTTTTGTGACATTTCGTCTAAAAGAGCCAAAACCGATATTTTTTGTGACATTTCGTACAACTTTTTTAACTATATCATTGCAGAATACATCTGTAGTGAATACGGAGGCTTAGGCGGAATGTGGGCGGATTTGAGTCGAAAACCCCTCCAGCTGTCTTACAATTCTGGGACGAATCGCTTCGGCCAAGACCCAGTATCAAAGTGGCATTGGGATCGAAACTCTCGGAAGTGTCGTCCGTTTCGATACCTAGGTCAAGGTGGTAATTTCAATAACTTTGTGAATGAACAAGAATGCCTGGACTATTGCTCTGCATCGCTTTGTCCGGTTGGAGCACCGTTACGAGTGGAATCTGGAGGTAATGTGGAATGTCAAGGGGATCAACAATGTCCGAGAAGTCATTACTGTATCAATACGGTGTGTTGTCCTACTTCCGGTGAGTTTTTAAAGGTATTAAGATACAATAGGTTCGGTGGGATAACGTAGGGTAGGGAAGGTCAGGGCAGGGCGAGGTATGGTACAGTAGAGTAGGGTTGGATATTGTACTAGAGACTATAGAAGGGTTAATGTAAGTTACGGTAGGCAGCACGGAAATGCTAAAGCTAAAGGGAGAGTAAGAGAAAGTTGGATAACGTAGAGTAATGTAAGGCATGGTTAGGGCAGTGCAGGGTACGGCAGGGTAAAAATATTTAAGCTTACCAAGACTGAGCCAACCGAGACTAGCCCTATTTAGTCTAGGCTTGGTAAGCCTAAGTTTACTAATTTTAAGCCTACGCCTAATAAGTTTAAGCCTAATAAGCTTAAGCCTACAAAGCCTAAGTTTACTAAGCCTAAACCTTAATTTTTTTAAAATTGTTATAATTTTTGTTTTAGTGACAATTTGCAACCTCCCCCTAGTGATTGGCTCCGCTTGCCATTCCGAACCAGTTAGCCGTTACTGGTACAATCCGCAACGCTCTAGCTGTCAACTCTTCCAATACAATGGTTGTGGCGGCAACGCGAACAACTTTGCCACAATATCCGATTGTCGTGAGACCTGCTCGTTTCAAGAAGAAGAGCCTCAATGTGAGCACGGTGAGCCAATCCGACTGGACAATGGCCGTATATGGAAGTGTAATCATACTGAAGATACGAACGAATGTCCGCTTAATTACGAGTGTTACTACGATGGCACGTTGAGTGGTTGTTGTCCGAAGAAGGCGTACACCTGCTCGATTCCTAGAGATATTGGCAGAAGTTGTGCCCCAGGCAATGTGACAAAATGGTACTTTGATGTGGGATTGCAGGCGTGTCGACCGTTCGATTATAGTGGATGTGATGGGAATTCGAATCGGTTTAATAGGTATGTTTGTGGAGGTGAATGGATTTTATTTTTGATGGGCAGCGTGATTAAGCTTAGTAAGCTTAGGCTTAGTAGGCTTAGGCTTAGTAGGCTTAGGCTTAGTAGGCTTAGGCTTAGTAGGCTTAGGCTTAGTAGGCTTAGGCTTAGTAGGCTTAGGCTTAGTAGGCTTAGGCTTAGTAGGCTTAGGCTTAGTAGGCTTAGGCTTAGTAGGCTTATTCTTAGGAGGTTTAGGCTTAGTAGGCTTATTCTTAGGAGGTTTAGGCTTAGTAGGCTTAGGCTTAGTAGGCTTAGGCTTGGTAGGCTTAGGCATAGTAGGCTTAGGCTTAGTAGGCTTAGGCTTAGTAGGCTTAGGCTTAGTAGGCTCAGGCTTAGTAGGCTTAGGCTTAGTTGGCTTAGGCTTAGTAGGCCTATATTTAATAGGCTTCGGCTTAGTAGGCTTAGGTTTAGCAGGCTTAGGCTTTGTAGGATTAGGCTATTTTGCTTTTATTGGTCGTATTTCACCTTTATGTTACAGCAAAACCCAATGCGAAGTCTATTGTGGTGTGGTCGGCTGTCCGCACGGTGGTCAAGTGCTTCTGAATCCGGACAAGAAACCGCAGATTTGTGGGCCCGAATCCCCAACCAAGTGTCCTCCATCGCACACCTGTATTCAAATGGCAAATGCCACTTTGGATGGTGGGATCTCGCATTTCTGTTGTCCTACCAGGTTCACGATCTGTGCCATGAAAATCGATGAAGGCAATGTTTGTGGCGATCCGTCGATTCGATTCGCATTCGATCCGGAGCTGAGGCAGTGCAAACCGTTCATGTTCAAGGGGTGTGGTGGAAATGAAAATAACTTTGAAGCGATGCAGAGCTGCTTGAGCTTTTGTTCGGCTGCTGGTAAGTCATCTTGAATATGTTGTGACTATGATAGTTCTGATAGATGTATTATTGTATGTTAAGGCTTAGACCGGGCGGGTAGATCTATGATATTGAGTTAGGGTGGTTTCTAGAGGTCGGAGTGATTCTAGGGCTAGGTGTAGAGGTAGGGCTAAAACTTAGGTGTAATTCTAAAAGTAGGGGTAGTTCTGAGGGTAGGTGTATGTTTAAAAGAAGGGGTAATTCTAAGGGTATGGTAATTCTAAACGTAGGGGTTGTTTTAGGGGTGGAGATATTTCCAAAAGTAGGGGTGATTCTAGGGCTAGGTGTTGAAGTAGGTCTTAAAATTAGGGGTACTTCTAAGGGTGGGAGTAATTCTAAAGGTAGTGGTAGGATTAATTGTAAGGGTACAGGTAGTTCTAGGAGTAGAGGTAGGGGTAATTTTGGAGTTAGAGGTAGGGGTAACTCTAGGAGTAATTCTAAATGTAGGTGTAGCTCTAGGAGTAGAGGTAAGGGCAATTCTAAAAGTAAGGGCGGTTCTAGGGGTAGGGGTAATTTTAAGTGCGGGTAGCGGTAACTCTAGTGGTAGGGTAGGGGTAAATCTGAAAGTAGGTGTAATTTCAGGGGGGTTGGGGCAATTGTAAGAATAGGAATAGTGCAAAAGTAGTTATAAAATAAGGGGTAGTTTTTGTGTTAGGGGTAATTTTAAAAGCAGGGGTAGTTTTATGAAAAGGTGGGGGTAATTTTAAAAGCACGGAAAGTTCTAAATAGAGGTAGGGGTAGATGTAGGGGTAAGGGTAATTCTAAAAGTAGGGGTAATTCTAGGTGTAGGACTAGATTTAAAGATAAAACTAATTTTAAATGCAGTGTAGCACTAATTTCAGTGTTAGAGGTAAGTGGTAAGTTTAAAATACAGTTTTTATTGTAAAATACGGCCAATGCTCCCGTTTCCTTATATTATTATTTCATAAAATTTAAAAACTTTAGCTTGCTCGGCTGGAGAAATAATATACAAAGCGAAGGCCGAGGATCCACCGGTCGATTGTACAAAAACAGCTTGTCCAAATGGGTTTGTATGCGTGGCCGATGTTACCAATCCCCAAAAAAGTGTTTGTTGTGGGACTTTGAACATGGGTAAGGCTATGATAATATGCCCTACCTTACCCTACCCTACCCTACCCTACCCTACCCTACCCTACCCTACCCTACCCTACCCTACCCTACCCTACCCTACCCTACCCTACCCTACCCTACCCTACCCCTACCCTACCCTACCCTACCCTACCCTACCCTACCCTACCCTACCCTACCCTACCCTGCCCTACCCTACCCTACCCTACCATACCCTACCCTACCCTACCCTACCCTACCCTACCCTACCTAATATAAAATGACATTACAGGCGTCTGCCCAGACGGCCAAGGAGTCTTTATCGATGAAAGAAGCCAAAAACCACAAACTTGTGCTAGTGACAGAGCTACCGATTGCCCTTTTGGCTATTTATGTGTTTATAATGAGAGAAGAAACAGGTTTTATTGTTGTGCTCCCAATATCTACGATTCGTGTAAGTTGTAAAGGTAAAATACGCTCTGACTATGTTTAGATTGTATAATAAAAAACGTCTATTTTCTAAAATTATCTATTACTTTATAAAAATTTTTAAAAATATTTTTTGTCAAAATTTTTAAAAATACACCGCCAAAATTTTTTTAAAATTTACCATGCCTTAAAAATACTTATTTTTATTTACTTTTGGACAAAAAAATTCTGAAAATCTTATTTTACACTCTAAAAAATTTATATCCCTCCCCCAAAAAAAAATTAAAAATTTACCACGCCCTTAAAAATTTTTAGAAAATTTACGGTTGGACTAAAGTTTAAAAAAAATCTATTTTAGACACAAAAAATAATTTTAATCCACCTCTGACAGAAAATTTTTGAAAATTTACCCCGCCTTAAAAAATTTTTTTATTAATTATATATGGTCTTATCTTACCATAGCCTTTAATTCTATGCTTTTTTTATAACCTACTGAGATGTTTTAATAATTTACCCCGCCTAAAAAATTTTGCAAATTGACTTACCCCCCCCTCCTTTTTACACAGCTTTTGCAATTTTAACTTTTTTTTACATCTACCCCGCCCTAAAAATTTCAAAAATTTACCACGCTTTAAAAAATTTCAAAAATTTTACCCGCCTTCACCAAAAAGAAATTTTATGTCGTTTTTTCCACAATGGTTCGCCTTTAATTAATTTTAAAGTACTATAATATAAATACTATTTTCAGTAAAATGTCCATCAGGTCTAGACCCAGCCAAGTCAGCCACCACCGACGCCATAATTGGCTGTTCCGTCGACAGACAATGCCCTCCCGGCTCTCGTTGTCACAAATCGAATGGAGAACATCAGTCTGGACTATGTTGTATGACTGGTCCACCCTGTCCACCTACCTTCGTATTGGACGTAGAGCAGAGCCGAAAGGTGTGTAGTCCAATGAAGTCGGCTACGTGTGAGGACGGTACATCGGTCTGTTTGTACAGTGATATTCTGGAGCGGTTCGTTTGTTGTCGGAGGACGAATCGACCATTCAAAGAGTTGGGAAAATGCCCTGGGGAGATGACCAGAGACTCGGAGAATCGACAGTGTAGCCAGAAGGAGCTGTGTCCGCCGAGCTTCAATTGTATTCGAAGAAACTTTGACAGAGTTGGGATATGTTGTAGACATAAGAACAGTGTCAATGTTGTCAGCTATCCATGTGAGTTTGATTTATAGTAGTACAGGGTAATAAGGAAAAGGCAACGCTAGGCAACGGTAAGTAGTTCAGAAGAAATCAGACTACTGTAGAGCGGAGTAGGGTAAGGTAAGGCATGTTGGAGTCGAACGGATAGGGCAGGGTAGAGCGCAGGGCAAGGCTAGACAAAGGAAAGCAGGAAAATAATGAAGGACAAGGTAAGGCAGGTCAGACTAGGGTAGAGTGAAATAGGGTAGGGTTTAATTATAAAACGGCAAAAACTTTCATTACATAGCAAAAACTGGCAAGAACTTTCTTTACAAAACAAAAAATGGCAAGAACTTTCTTTACAAAACAGAAAATGGCAAGAACTTTATTTTTATAACAAAAAATAACAAAAACTTTTTTTACAAAATCAGAAATTGCAAGAACTTTCTTTACAAGATAAAAAATGGCAAGAACTTTCTTTACAAACTAAAAAATAGCAAGAACTTTCTTTACAAAACAAAAAATGGCGAAAAATTTCTTTACAAATTAAAAAATGGCAAGAACTTTCTTTACAAAGCCTAAAACGGCATTAACTTTTCTTACAAAACAAAAAGTAGCAAAAATTTTCTTTACAAACCGAAATTGCTACCTATTTTTAGTAAAATGCCCAAACAAAGGCAAGCCCTACCGTGACTCAGCCGGCCTAAACCAAATCTGTAACGATCAAATCAAGTGTCCAGACGGCTTCAAATGTCAGCTATCAGAGTCTCCAGGCAGTAAAAGTCGACTATGCTGCTTAGAACCAAAGAAGATGGTATCTTGCCCTAGTAATCTACTGCCATTATCAGCTGATGGTGTTGAACAGAACTGTACCGAGTCCAATTGTCCATCCGGCTACAAGTGTAATGATGGCATTTGTTGTCCGACCCAGGAGTTTGCTTGCTCTGTACAGTTTTATGCTGGCGTTAGGTGCAGTAATGTAAAGCCTTTACAGAGGTGGTACTTTCATTCCGCTACAGGTGGGTTTTGGTATTGTATAGGGTCCAAGAATGAGTAGGAGGGTAATGTTTGGTACAGTATAGAACTAAAGAAGAGCTAGAGGGTAGGAGGTATAGAGTACGAGATCGGGGATAGTGGGTAGGGGGTATAATAGGGTAGATGCGGGGTAAGGAAGGTAGTTCTAGGTAAAGTAAGGGCCAACTATGGGGTTAGGGGGTAGTTTTTGGTAAGTGTAAAGCCAATGAAGGGGGTAGCGGGTTTTTTTTGTTACAGTATAGAGCTAGAAAGGAGTTATGTGGTAAGGGTAGAAGGAAGAGGGTATGGTAAAGCTAGAAAACAATTTAGGGGGGGGGGGGGGGTAAAACTAAGAAAATGACATTTTAAATGTAATTTTAGGAAGATGTCAGCCATTTGTTTATAATGGGTGTACTCCAAGTGCCAACAATTTTGCTGACGAACGAACGTGCTATCGACTGTGCGTGGAAAGCGAGGCTTTCGAGGTTAAACGTAAGTTTTAAACACTTCGAGATATAATACGGTAAGAAAGTATAAAATAATATTGTAGTGCGGTCGTATTTCACATACAAGACGGAAGATTTCGTAGTTTGGACTACAAGATATACTTAATTTCAGGACACTGTTCCTTTCCATTCAAAGACCCTAAAGCCGGTCTGATCAAAGAATGCAGTGAGGAGAACATGGAATGTGAAGGTATAATATTCTATATTACTTTTATTAGGTTGTTCAAATAATTCTGAGCTCCCTATCTTTAAAACGTTTTTGTAATATTGGGCACAGAATTAACTGAACACTTTAATACTTCCTTTGCCTTATATAGGGCATGTGTAATTTTTTACTATTAATATTAGTGGGGGGGGAGGAGTGGATTTGTAATTATTTGAAAGTTTTTGATACCAACTGATTCCAGATGATTTGATATGTGTCCACAACGCCTTTGGGTTAATGTTATGCTGTGCACCACAAGAGAAGCCTGAAGATCCGAATGATAAACTGGTCAAAGGGAAACAACCCCTTTGTGGTCCTGGATATATACCGTAAGCTTAAAGTTGTTCAATGCTATTAAAGGGACGGTAGGGTAGGGTAGGGTAGGTTAGGTTAGGGTAGGGTATATTCATAAAACTCAATTTCCAGCTTGATTGATGCAGTGGCAGAAGAGCCGGTCCATTGTCATCCCTTCTCGCAGCCATGTGACAAAGGCCAAATCTGTCAATACAGTGCCGGCTTCGCTGGTTACCTCTGTTGTCTAATGCCTCCAGAATCGGACAAAAAGCCAACAACCAGAAAGCCTATGAATCAATTGGCCATAAAAACATTTCCTCTTAAATTTAAGCCTAATAGAAAAGGTGTTACATCAAATTTAGTCGCCACAACACCAAAAAAACCTAAAGTAATATCGGAAGAAGATGAGGAAGATGAATATTTTGATAGTTTAGAAGGAAATAGATGGAGTGGGGTTGGTGATAACAGTGGTAAAGGAAGAAGTAGAAGTAGAGAAAACGGTTTTGGCAGGAATTCTGGTCTATCGACTGAGATTGGGATCAATCGAGCGAATGGTAGGTTGATGTAGAGAATATCGGATATAGGTATAGAAAATTGGTCATTCTTGTTTGATGGGCCGTCAGATTGACTTGTAATTGACTGTGAAGTGGCGAATTAGTATTAGTATTGTAATGTTTTGACCAGTTTTTGAAAATTTAGTTTAAATTTTTTAAAATTTGAGATTATATTAAGGATGAGGGATTAGCTCAGTAGATATAAAAAATTGGTCGTTTTTTGTTTGAAATGCTGTTGAACTAGCTTGAAATTTTAAGTAGAGTTGATAAATAGCATTGTTTTTGCATTTTTGTAAAATATTTTGAAAATATTTAAGAATTTGAATTTACGTTAAGGACGGCCTTAAAATCTTACCTTTTTCAGAACTTTCTTCCCTAACTCATTTGAATCATCTTGTAAAAAGTCGACCACTAATACCAAATGGCCTTAAAAGCAGTAGAATAACATCATCACTCACAACAGATTACAGTATTCGTCCTACTGTCAGTGTTTTGTCCGTTTCGGACAACTTTATCGAGCCGGATGAGGAAGATGTCGCTGACGTTTTAATCAAAGAACCAGTTGTTTCTTTTGATGATTAGTATGACATTTTTAGTACTGTATTTTATTTTCTTGGTACAGTATAGACTTGTTGTTAATTTTTCGTATTTTGTGGCAATTGTTTGACCTATCACCTTGTTGTACATTGATCTGAAGCTAAAACAAAGTTGAAAGACGCAAAAGTTTTATTTTTGAATAAATATTGACATATTATTGACGGATTTTAATTGATTTTCATGTAAAAGCATTTGCTAAACCTTGCTTTTCAGAAAAAGTTTGGCTTCTTGACATGGATAATATAAAACATCAAAACTTGATGAAAATTATAAAAAAACTACAAAACTTCAACAAAATAATAAAGGACAAGGTGTATTTGGTATTATTTTAGTATAATACGACAGTTATGATGAGTTTTTCAACCGAAAATCCCGTCCACAAACAAGTTATCGACCAAATCAATGTGGCATTCCGTCGTTTGAACAAAAACTTGTTGCGAAAATAATTTTTGGCCGATTTTTCGACTGTTTTACCTTTTCTTCATGTTTATTGTCGTGCCAAAGTTGTAAATTTCTGTTTTTGTTAAGAATTAAACGCTTTTTTAGCCCAAATTATATAAAATTCATTAATTATTCTATTTTTAGCTAAACCAACCTCAGGAATTTGCGTGAAATGACGGAATTGATCAAGTCTGGCACTTACCCCTCCTTCGACAAATTCAGCAAAGATGCCCAGACGTTGATAAAGGCCCATCCTGACAAATATAGGTATGTATTCTATTATTTTGCTTGGTTTTTAGGTAATGTGGCGAAAGGATGGATATTATCCATGTAGGCTTATCAATATGGTTTTCTCTTGATTTTCAGATGGTTATTAGCTAAATTTTTTTGTTTGATAGTAAGGAAAATGTATATTCTTTGATATAGTTTATGGATTTGGACAGTTGATAAAATTTTAAATTGTTTACGGCATGTATTTATGAAATTTCGTATATTGCTGTCATGAATAATATAAAGTTTACTTCTGATATTCAAAAAGGCTTATATGGGCTAAATTTAGCGTTTATTATTTGAACTAAGGTATGGATTTTAATGTTAGGCTTGTATTGCGACATTTGATTGGTTTTTGATTGTGTTACATCTCATTTCCCGGCCATGTTAGTGTAGTTACCTAAAATATGGTTAAAGGGGTTTTCACTAGTTTTAGGGAAGACTGAGTAGGTAAAACCTATGTACTTAGTTGGAAAATGTTCTTCTAGAGTTTTTTATCAAAAAATTTTTATGGATTCAGTTTGTTTCTTATGATTTTTGTCTGATATTAACTATGGGTTTTTGTGTGTGCTAGAAAATGGGTGAAGTCCGAGAGTTTTGATTGTTTGAAAGTGTAAGTTGGATAACATTAGTTTGAAAACTAAATTCTGCTGCGTTTCTTGTATTATATATCATATCATGTTCGTTTAACTTTATTTTGTGTTGTTTTTGTCGAATATTGTCTATGGCAGACTTCTGGTCTAATATTATTTATCAAAAATTTGTTTTCTCGTTAGAAATAAAGTGTGAATTGATCATAAATTGTTAGAAATGTTTATTCCACAGCTGTTAATAAGTGATTTTTAATCGTCTTTATCCATTTACCTCTTATATTATCTATGATACTTATAAAACATTTTTTTTCAGATTTGTGCTCAAACCCATTCACAAGGACGGGAAAATTCATCTCAAAATCTCGGATAATCGAACGTGTATCCAATATGTATTATCAAACATCAATGAATTCAAGAAACTCGAGGTATTCATCGGCACGGTAATGCAAGACAACACCACCGATAATAATGGTCTGTAATTTATTGTTTTATTAGTAAATTGTTGATAATATATGTTAGGATGGGACTGTAGCTGCATTATCTAGAGATGTTATTAAAATTTTTTTTGCAGAAGGAAAAATGGCAAGAACTTTCTTTACTAAACAAAAAATGGCAAGAACTTTGTTTACAAAACAAGAAATGACAAGAACTTTCTTTACAAATTAAAAAATGGCAAGAACTTTCTTTACAAAACAAAAAATGGCAAGAACTTTTTTCAAAAATATAAAATTGCAAGAACTTTCTTTACAGAATAACATATGGCAAGAACTTTCTTTTCAAAACAAAGAAACCTTATTTTATCAAGACCAAAAGTCGCAGGAACTTAAATTCCACCTGATTTCAATCAAAAAGTTGTAAACTCGGCCATGTGATTGATCCCGAGACAAAGAAGCATCGGCCATAAATCTTTCGACCTCTCCTTCCATTAGTTATAAATGTTTCAGAGCTCTCGAAAACAAAGGCAACGAGACGTTTTTATAGAGATACTTAAGGGCTTGTCATCATTTTGTTTTATATTCTTTTACTTATGAGGAAGCAATTATTTTCCTTTAAATTTTATAGGGGGGGGGACAAAAAACAGATTTATTATTTATTTATTTGGATTTTGATTAGCTTTGGATGGGTTTTTGATTAATCTTGGATAAGGTAGAAGGCATTTATGATGTTGAGTTAGATATGGCAGGTTTTGAGGGGTGTTTTTACGAAAACTGGCAAGAACTTTCTTTACAACCCGAGAAATTGCAAGAACTTTCTTTACAAAACGAAAAATGGCAAGAACTTACTTTACAAAGCAAAAAATGGCGAGGACGTTTTTTACGAAACATAAAATGGCAAGAACTTTCATTAGAGTGCATAAAATGGGTTAGGAATTTCGTTACAGAACGTAAAATGGCAGAAACTTTTTTTACAAAACGAAAAATGACAAGAACTTTCATTAGAGTGCGTAAAATGGCAAAAACTTTCTTTACAAAAGACGAAATGGCAAGAACTTTATCTACAAAACAAAAAATAGCATTAACTTCTTTTACAAAGCGCAATTTTCCGTAAAAACCGATCGTTCGTATAACTTGTCGCTCGCAGGCCGCCAAAACTAAAATAGCGGCATCCGCAGACAGTCAAACCTCAAATTTGCTCCAATCCAAAATTTCCGCCTTTACGAGCCTTTGGAGATTTTTTGGGGTTAAGAAAACAAATTGTTTTTACGCCAAGAAAAGGGCACTTTTGGTGGCATAAACCCGAGCAGTATTTTTTTCACTCAATTCATATGCGTGGCTTATATTATTCGGGGGGAGTGAAAGTTACGGAACTCTGCGTTTTATAAGAACTTTTCGTCGTTCCACCAGAATTGGCGTTATGATTTTTGGCAGAGTGTTAATGGACTGGCATTTTTGGTATGGGCAGGGGAGAAGGGGTACTGTAGGGTTAGGTAGGTTAGGTCTGGAGCTAAAGCTAGGGCTAAGACTAGAATTACAGATCTGGGCTAGGGCTCTAAACTAAGACTAAGGCTCTGGACCAGAATAAGGTTAGATCTAGTGATACGGCTAGGCCTAGAGCTAGGACTACGGCTTGCGCTTTGGGGACTTGAGCGCTAGGACTAGGACTGTGGGCTTGGGCTAGTTGTAAAATTCTTGTATTGGCTCATTACTAGGGCTGTAGGCTAGGGCTCTGGACTAAGACCTTGGACTAGAGCTTTGGGCTAAAGCTGTTGGCTCGGACTCTGTTCTAGAAATTTTGTGTGCAGTCTTAGTAGTAGTTTTAAAGCAATTTTAAACTAATTTTCAGTGCTTTGATACTGATTTTAAAAAATTTCGAAAAATTTTAAAATTTAAAAACTTTTTTTTATTTTTGAAATTAAAAAAAAATTGTTTCTAAAAACCGATGAATAGTTATTTTATGTTCTATGCCCTTTTTTTCATTTATAAACTGCGGTATAAAGCTGAAAAATGGGGTTTTCTTCATTTTCCCAGGCCCGTTCCCAACCCATATGATTTATGCCATTTATTACATACTATCCCAAACTTTTTGATTAATGACTTGTAATTCTCTATGCTTGGCCACATTTCAAACAATTTTTTCGCGAATTTGCCCGAAAACAAGAATTGTTTGATCTGGGGGGGGGGGGATTGAATAAAGGCGGAAGCGGTATGTTATTTATACGCATTTTTGATTAGTGTTATATTTTTAGGCTTGAAAAGAGGTCTAATAAGACTGTTTGTACCCTACCTCTACTTCAAAAATCAACCCCTATTCCTATTTCAAAAATCTACCCCTGCTCTTACTTTTACCCCTACCCATAGCCCTATCCTTACTATTACCCTTACTCTATCTTGCTTTACTTTTTTTTACCGTACCCATGCCCACTTTTTAACTTTTCTTCTACTTCACCCACCCCACTGTATTCCCTATTCTCCCCCAAAAAAACCGTATATATTACACTTGTTTGTGGTAACTCTCCTCCCCCCCTTCTCCCAGAATATTTATATACAAAATTAATTCGATTGAATAAACAATGAGCCCGCAGGCATTTCCCACATTTTTCGAGAGCACTTAAGGAACGTCTGAGTAAGTCCGTCCATTACGAACATAGCCGACGTTGTAGCCGAGGATTCAGGGATTTATTCAAGACATGAGTTTTTTTTCACGGTTTTGCTAATGTTTGAGTAATTAGTTATATTAAGTTGTGTCACTGGGAGGAATTGTGGGTATTAAGGTGTGTCACTGGGAGGAATTGTGGGTAGGAGTATAGTAGGGGTTTATTGTTATTGTTACAGTACGGTATGGTTATAGTCTTAGACTTGGACTTAGGCTTAGGCTTATCTTTAGGCTTAACCTGAAACTGAGCCTTTAGCGCTTATACCAAGGCTCAAGCTCAGAGTTTCGTCATCAAACTTCCTTTCAAGTTTTCTTAAAAATAGTTTAGAAAAGCGCCATTTTTAGCTCGAAATCCTTGCAAAACCCCCAATGTTCACATTAGCAGATGTGAAATGTATTTATCCCAGTAGCTCTTCTTCTGCTTTTTTGGGCATTCTTCAATTGGCATCAAAACAGCTCGCGAACAAGAAAAAGTTTTACGTCTAACAATAAGCTTTACATATACATGGGGATCGGACCGGGCCTGCTTTCCAAGCCCGCTCTCGGGTCATGAGTCATGACTGAAGTTTATGAATCCGGGCCTGAATTATAGCCTCAGCCTTTTTTTATTTAGCTTAAGCCTGGCCCGTTCCCCATGTCTAGTCTAATAAAATTGCGATCCAAAACTCATGGGATGGAAGGGGGGGGGGAGGATAAAGCGGGTAGGGGAAGGGAAGGCCGGTAGGAGCAGGCGAGGCAGCTGGGGAGAGAGGTAGATGTATGGGTACGGTAGGGTTGTGTAGAGCAATGTAGGGTAGGGTTGGGTAGGGTAGGGTAGGGTAGGGTTGGATAGGGTAGGGTAGTGTAGTGCAAAGTAGGGTAGGGTAGGGTAGGATAGGTTAGAGCAAAGTAGGGTAGGGAGAGGCCGGGAGGAGGCAAGAAGAAGAGATAAAAAGAAGGGGGAGTATTAATCATGCAGAGGCGCTGAATTTTAAAATCTTTTTTTGTTTGGGCGCCCGGAGGGCATGAAAAAACCATAACCGCGCATTCCGAAACTTCTTTTTTTCGGCCCAAATATAATTTTTTTTCTGGTCATATTTCGAAACGGGAACGACTTTTCATCATACTTAATATCGACTTCTTGAGTACTTGCACTGTGGCACGCCATGCTTTTGGGTATATGACTTTTTGTTTGGTCATGGTTGAGGGAAATTTGAATTTTTGGATTGGAAGAAAAGTTTTTGCAACGTTATGACTTGGAAAGAAAGTTCTTCCTATTTTTCGTTTTGTAAAGAAAGTTCTTGCCATTTTATGTGTTGTAAAGAAAGTTCTTGCCATTTTTTATGTTGTAAAGAAAGTTCTTGCCATTTTTTGAACTGTAAAGGATTTTTTTGCTATTTTTACGAAATTTTCATTGCACTATGCAAAAAGCTAAAAAATTTTTTTTTAATTTCTCCCCCCCCTGCCCCGCCTCTTTTGTCAATTTTTTTTTCTCATGTTACCCAACCATCTCTCACCCGCCAAAAGTACCCCTTCCCTACCCACTTTCTTTCTCCCTACCTCCCTCTCCCCACCCGCTATTGTTTTGGGCACTTGAGGAAAAAACGCCTGTGGGGTTTAAAACTTTTTCGTTGGCACATAACGCAAATTACATTTGTCCAGCGAATAATTGAAAGAAGGCAGCCGGTTTCATCCGCTTCCTTTGTTCTTTTCCCAATCTTGCTCAACCAAAATTATTATTTCTTCAGCGCGGCCAAAGATCCGGCCATAAAAAGTTTTTGTTTATTAGAAGGGGGGGGGGTGAATACTAGGTTTGATTTTTGAGGTTTGAAAACAAAGTTTTTGCCATTTTTTGTTTGTAAAGAAAGTTCTTGCGATTTCTTGTTTTGTAAAGAAAGTTCTTGCGATTTCTTGTTTTGTAAAGAAAGTTCTTGCCATTTTTTGCTTTGTAAAGAAAGTTTTCGCTATTTTTTCGTTTTTTAAAGCGGCTTTGGATTTGGGTATTTTTTGGCGGGAATTTGAATTTTAAGTTTGATTTGAGGAGTTGAAAGAAAATTCTTGCCATTTCTTGTTTTATAAAGAAAGTTTTTGCCTTTTTTTAATTGCCTTTAAAAATAACTTTTGGATTGTACTTTAAAGTATTCTTTAAAGTTTTACCTAAATTAGATTAACGACAACTTGTAAAAGCATTTATAGCGCCAAATAATGGCCACACAACATGGCCAAGTAGATTTATACTCGAAAAAATAAACCAAAATAACTTTTTGATATTGAAAAATGGTAATAACTTTCTTTACGAAACATAAATGGCAAGAACTTTCTTTACATAACAAAAAATTGCAAGAACTTTTTACAAAACAAAAAATGGCAAGAAATTTCTTTGTAAAAGTAAAAATGACCGTATTTT